CCCCGGTATCGGCCGTCCCTCAGTTGTCTGCAGTGGCGTGTCTCCACTGACAAACGAGTTTGCGACTGAGGCAGCTCCGCCACAGGACATCTGGGACATGTAGACGCGTCTTCTACCGCCGCGGAAAGACGTAAGGCCAGCCGGGGACTGGAGCGCTCCTCGCAGATGCATTACCAGCCTGAAACGCGCCGCCTTCCACAGAAATTGAAGCTATGACTACCAAATGTCCGTTCCCGGGGCAGATGTGTGACTGAGCCCGGGAGCAGCGCGGACATTGTGGTTGACAGGTCTAATGGGGTAGGTGCACCGTGGGCTGGGGCGCTGCTACTAAAGGAGAGAAAGTGATCTCATGGAGTTCACAGCTGATAACAGACGATTTTACGGTCACACTGCTCGAGAGAATATTTGAAAATAATTGTGGCACCAATCAAGGTCTGAGACCTGAGTACTTCAGTACCTTCATAGAACGAGCGCCTCCGTGGCGTCAGTGCACCGACCATAATGAACTTTTTCACTTTTCTGTACTGCAAAATTGCACTTCCTTTTCAAGCGCATAGACAAATGTATGTGGTGCCAAAACTCAGCTTAGGAAAGAGTTGAAGTGAAAGTAGCTTAAGTTCATCTTAAATTGCTTTTTTCAAGTCCAAGTTGACAAATAAATCAAATTACCTACTAAACTATCAATCGTTGGGAAGGCGTTAGCCATTAGATGTTGGGCGTAGGAAATGATATTTTTCCAAATCAATTTAGAAACGCTGTCCCACCTTGCTTTTACATTGTGGGTAAAACCATGTTGTCTATACTTTCAGACATTCATTTTCAGGGGAAGGGGGGGTGGCAGTACTGCTAAAAAGGCGATAAAAAGGAAGAATGAGTGAATGAAGAGGGAGAAAAAGAGAGAGGGGGAGTGAGAGAGAGAAAGAAAGAGAGAGAGAGAGAGAGAGAGAGAGAGAGAGAGAGAGAGAGAGAGAGAGAGAGAAACAGAGAGAGAGAGAGTGAGAGAGAGGGAGAGAGAGAGGGGGAAGACTAGGGAGAAGAGAGTAAGCATTCAAGATTTAAATCGACGATGACAGACAGAGAGACAGGCCGACAGACGGCTTAATTTATTGCCGCCCATGACCCATCTAAAATGGGAGCGACGAAAATGCATTACTCCATAACGTCGATCAGCAGCCGGTGGGCGGTGACGATACAACACTCTCACACAGCACATCTCTATTCTCTAATGGATGACTTACCTCGTACATGCATTATCACTTTGAGGAACAAGGAATAATATAGGGCATCGCATGCTGTCACCTCAATGAAAAGATATCTTTCAACGATCCGATATATCTACATATTTCTGTCCACACATCGACGGCAAGCAAAGACTTATACCTAAGTAACTATGCATTTTGATACGAGGTAAATACCTAACGAGCAAAACCCGTAATGAAAATTACTAATTACGCTTACAAGCAATGCGTCATCTTGATTTCAAAGATTGCGAGTATATAAGATAAGTATAGGTAGATGCAAACTCTACCTATTTACTTGAAGAAAACCTAAACCCCATTGAGTTTCTATGTTATCTGGGACCAGCAAATGGAACTCATTATGATGTGGCATTTCAGCTATCTGTTCCAAGACAGTTCCAAGATTTCAGCACGAGTATTTACAACAGGAGTATTTTTACCGTACCTGTTTAAAGCGCTTGAAATGACTTTGGGTAGTGGCGTATCGCTAAAGGGCGTGTGTTGACTTTTCTTCTGTTGGTGTTTCTGCCAGCACGATAGTTTTGGCATCCCTCAGGTGTCGTTCGTTGCGCAAACTGCTCCGGTGGGCGGTGTGTGTGCTTCGTTTGGTCAGCGTCCGCAGCTCAATAGGCTATCGATGCCGCCAAGATCGGCCGGCTAGAGCCCTCGAAACTTCCTTCTTCCCTCTAACACCCCACGGAATATGCTTTAACTGAAATGTCGGTTCAATATGACTACTTGGTCGGCACGTTCGGACCCATTCCGACAATGTATTGATCTGTTAACTGGTACCCATTCAAACGTGGGAATCCTTACCTTCGTACCAGACCGGACCACAATGGAAACAAACGGCAGCGGAATGATACCTACCAACGCAGGAGCCTGGTGTAGTGGTGTATGTCCCCGCTGGATTGTGTAAATGTCAGAGCTGTGCTCGACATTTGGGACGGCTAGTCAAGCGACACTGGTGCAGTGGGCGTCCGTCTCATGTGTGTAAACGTCAGGTATAAAAATGTTGAACAATCGGACCGACTGTCGTATTCACTCGTGTTTACAGCTATCCACTATCCAGTATCCAGTGATGAGCATGCTGATCTATTGAGCCCCTTTCTCCAATTTAATATACGACTAAATGACCAGCCAGAGTCTTACAAAAGGGACTGCACAGTGGGTCCAGTGGGACTCGATACAGACGGACCCCTCTACATCTCATCCCCACCCGGAAAAAAATGTGGAAAACTTTGACGTCATCGATGAGCACCGTTAAAACACCTTATTGTATGTACGGTTGCGCGCAAAATGCGTAGGCGGTAGGATTTTATAACAATGCCCACCTACCGCTCATTGCTAACGTTCAGATGTTAGTTTTTTACTCAAAGGAGCCGTTTGGGGCCTAACGGGCTTGTCAGAGGCTAGCAAATGGCAAAGGCCCGCAGAACTGCGTAAGGACCCCAGGGGCCTGCGTGAGTTTTTAGAGTCCTTGCGATAATGGTGGCCTTCAAAAATCCACGTGGGTGAGCGACTTGTGTAAGGTCATTAGACGACGTTGTAGCCCTCAGAGGTTTACAGAGCGACCCTCAAAGATCTGCGTGAACCTTCAGAGACAGGCGTGAGATTAGTCCTCAAGTAAGTACTGAAGCGGAGCCCTCTTCAGTTAGGCGCCTCAGGGAAGAGAGGCCGGTTTGGAGCCTACAGATTACAGAAGCCGCCGTATGACCCTTTATAGCGCAATGGGTCTGCTCAAGCCTCAGGGGGTCTGCTGTCTTCCTCTAAAAGCTCTGCCGAGGTCCTCGGAAGGCGGGAGGGGCCTTTCGAGACCATTGTGGTCGTTCAGAAGCAGACTCAGCCCTTAGAACTCCAGAGTCTCCTTCTCAGGGCTGCTCACCAGGCCCAGAGCCCTAAATGCAATGGGGAGGGCGCGTGCTCCATATGTCACACCCTGCTTACGCCGCCACTCCGGTGCTTTTTTACGCTCCGTGTAGTTACGGTATGTTCAATATGGAATCCCCGTAACATAGATGTTCTTTCCCTGCTTTAGATATTACGCTTTTGCTCGGAACTCGGCAGCTGTTCGCTCCCCGGCAGCTTCAGTTCTCCACATAAGGTGCCTCGAACTTGGCCTCGAATGCTTACCGTCTCGAACCTTGCTGCCTCGTTCCGGCTCGGGTGCTACTGAGCGATAGCAGCGCCACTGCTGTGCAGCGGCGGAGAACGTAAGCTGTGGTTGTTCTGCGGGGGCGCTGCAGGTCAGCCTCCTCCGCATCAGGCTGCTGGAGCTCAGCAGGCGGAGTGTGCCGCTCCGGACACTGAGGGGCGCTCGGTGACTGCGTGCCGCGTGGTATAGATACTGCTGTCCTGTCGGCTCCTGATGGACCACATTGGAGAACAGCATAAGGAAATTAATGAATCTTGTATCAATATGATCGACGATGACCATTTACCTGGTAAAGTTATCCGTGGAACCGTTTCCTTTCGTGCTTCTGTGTGTGTGTGTGTGTGTGTGTGTGTGTGTGTGTTTTTTTTTTAGGAATGTGAGGTATGAGCCTTCAGCTATCGGTTCTACAATTCACCCATGTTGCTGGCAAGTGGTAAGTAACTTGATTAGGCCTATAAATACCTACGGTCAATGCATCCAAACTGTTCTCATACAGCGTCAAATGACAAATACTTTGTGAGACAAAGCCCCAATTAGTCTTCCGACTTCCGAGAACTTATGATAATTGATTTAAGACGGCAAACAGGTGTGGATTGAGAGATGTTATTGTAAGCACTTGATGATCAATGAAGCTGCTGTTAATCCACATGACCGGTCTGACAGAATGTAATTTCCATTTTATTTAGAAAATACATTCGCTAACGTTGCTTTATCAAACTGGTGAAATGTTTTCATTGCTGCATAATGCATAATGCTGCTTCCGTTTCAACTAGGGCAAGTGCCTCTTGGCATGCTGTGGTAGGGATAATGGGTGTTTTTACAACCTGGCGTGGCCGACTTCCGCCCCCTGCCATACTTCCTCGGCAGCCGGTTCTCACCATCACAGGGGCGTGAGCTGCCCTGCCCAACCCTCAAGGTCGTGAGGTGGACCCTGAGCTCCCTTCCTTACGGCTGTGAGCTGAACTCCAAAGTTCCTCCCCCTTCCTGATAGACGGCCGGTACCTACTGCAACAACGGCAGCCATCCATTGACACACCAGCTCCAGCCTTGATTGACCTAACGGGGCTCTTTTTCTCCCCGTCAGGCCGCGTCCGTTCCGCTCCGTGTTGTCCTGTCGGCGTTCTGTCCGCGACTGTACCGGACCGGACCGCCGTGTCAGAGACCGTACTCGCAGTGGCGGGATTCCGCGCGCAGGGGCGGCGCGGCGCCGGCCCGGCTGACGGACTGCTCGGCTCGGCGCCGCTCCCCCTGCGGTGGCCGCCGTGCCTCCGCCTCTGCGCCGGCCCAGCGCCGACAGTCGCCGCGCCGGCGCCCCAGCTGACTCAGCCGGGCGCCGTGTTTACAGCTGACGTCACCGGCGCCCATTCCGCGTGCAGCCCTGCACGGCGCCCCGCTCTCTGTGACGTCACCGCCCGGGCGGGGCCCGGGGGACAGTACTGATCGGTCACCCCTCCCCCAGCTCCCGCAGTGATCAGCCTCCCTGATCGGTCAGCAGGGACACCGGACCACCGCGCTGCCGCCGCTTCCTCCCCGCCCGCCCGCCGGGCGACCTTCATCCGCGCCCGCGCCGCGCCGGCCGCGCCGCGCTGGAGCGGGCGTGCAGTTTGCGCTCGGCCGCGCTCCCGGCGGCACCGCCCCGCTCGCCCGCGGCCGCGCACCGAGTCGCGCGGAGCAGAGCTGTCAGCGGCGGTCGGCGTCCTGTCACGGCGGTGCAGAGGGCGGTCGGCCAGCTGCGGGCCTCGGCGCCGTGTCGCGTTCGGCAGTGGTGCTGCGGTAGCGACCGTCAGCTGCACGTGCGGTCGGCAGCGGCCGGCAACTCGCTCTTTGTTTACAGTGGTGAGTTTTGCGCGCCGCCAGAGCGGCACGTGTCTGTGAGACCAGTGAACTGTGTCCGTCACGTGATTCTGTGACCCGTGCGTGAGTGACATCGAGTGGTGGTCGTTCAGATCCTCAGTATGGCGCTGAAGCGCTCGGAGGCGCTGGGCACGGCCGGACGGTTCGCGTTCCACGACCGCGGGGACCGGGACGACAGTGGCGCGCTGGTGACCTCGGCTATCAATCGGTCACTGCTGGCCGGGGCCGCGCCCGCCACCGGCAGACCCACAGCGATGACCGGCATCCTGGTGACCGAGAGCAGGCGGGGCCGTCGCCGCGCGCTGGCCATCGTCTTCCGAGACGAGCCCGAGATCATCGGCTGCGACGGCGGGCCGGGCTCCGACGACGAGGACCCCGTGGTCGACGGCGACGACGACGAGCTGGCCGAGCCGTCGGAGGTGCTGACCGCCGAGGAGCGGGCGTTCCTCAACCTCACCAAGCGCAACACCGACTTCAACTCCATCACCAGCAACCTATCCGGCACGTCCCGCACGCTGCTGGACTGGGTGGACGAGAATGACCGCACCACCGAGCGCAGCGCGCTCACCGGCCGGCACAAGAAGTTCACGCCCGTGGTGTGTGTGGCGCCGTTCTCGACAGGACGCGGCCCCGGTCCGCTCAAGATCAACCCGGTGGCGCCCATGCAGAACGGCGAGGTGGTGTCGACAGGACGGATACAGGAGATGGTGGAGAAGAGGAGTGTGATCGATCAGGCCACCAAGCGGGAGCAGCAGGTTACTCGGCTGGACGATAAAGTCACCAGATTGGATGACAAAGTCACCAGACTGGATGACAAAGTGGATAAAATTACACGACTGGACGATAAAGATGCGAAAATTACACGGTTGGACGATACAATCGAGAAACCAGACGAGAAAGTCACCAAAGTAGATGACAAGATAACCAAGATTGACGATAAGAGTATCGAAAATTATGAGAAGCTAAAATCGTCGGAAATTAATGCAGCAGATGACAAACCGGTCGCGAATAAGTCAAATTCTCCTCCGGCCAAAATAAAAGCCGTATCAGCGACGAGGACTGCGGATGTGAAATCGACCACCGACACCGGAAGCCAGTCGGTATCGGAGGGCATAAGTCAGCTGAAAGCTGGGCCCGGCTCCCGCGTCCCCGATACGGGAAACGCGGAGCCTGCTAAGTCTGCACAGCGGTGGTCGGGTGGTGCAGACCGCAGCGGCTCTGCAGCGGTAGAAAGCGGCGGCGGCGGCGAGCAGCCGGCGCCCGCCGACCCGCCCATGAGCAATATTGACCTGATCAAGGCGAGGTTAGCGGAGAAAGCCGCCCAGAACGGCCCATCCTCGTGGCGCCGCCCGGGGAACCATCCCGAGCGAAATCGGGCCCGGCTCAACTCGCTGGACGGCGTGCCCAAGAGTCCCAAGCTGCGGTCACACCGGGCCCCCGGCGAGGGAGGCTCGGCTGTGGGCGGCGCGTCCGACACGGGCCGGACCAGGTCCCCGCCGACAGCCACCGAGCCGCCGTCCGCGGCCGAGTCACGAACAGCCGCGTGTGACCGGGTTACGGAGCCACCCACCCCAGCGGCGGCCTCAAGTGACGCCCACAAAAACGGCCCCGCTGCCGAGCGGCAACACTTGTCGGACGGGGACCGTTCGACGAGCGAGACCCCCGACACGACAGGTGACGAGGAAAAACTGGCCAGCACGGGGGTGAAACTGGCACCAGCCGATCATAAACCTCCCATTGTCAACGACAAACCCAAACTGGCCGCTAAGCCGGGGAAAGTAAAGCCGCTGGGGCAGCCGGCGGGCTGGGACGGCGGCGCCCGAAGGTCGAGCAGAGAGGTGGGGGTCGCTCAGCCCACTCCAGCCAGCCCCAAGGCAGCTGAGAGTCGTGCAAAAACGGACAGCGCAGATGAGCTGAGAAGTGCCGTGGATGCGGACAAAGAGAAGCCGACCGTGAATCTCTCGGAACGTCCCACGGGGCCGGACAAACCGCACAGCGGATTAGTGAAAGGTCAGAACGAGAATGTTATGTCACATGACAAGGCTGCTGACGATAGCAATCAGGAAAGTTCCTATTCACCTAAAATGCCTGTGCACAAAACCGAAGTAAAATCGAACGTTGTAGAGACAAAAACTCAGCGTGCCATGAAGAGAGAAAAAGAGTTAGAACGGCAACGAGAAGAGCTCGAAAAGAAAAACCGCGTAGAGAAAAAGGCACCGATTTCGAGCGACTCAGTCCGACCAGAGCCCCGTCTGCCGGAGACCCCGCAGGTCCCGGAGTCGTCTGTCACGCGCAGGGGCTCACCGCCGTCTGTCGAAGTGCCGCCTTCCTTGCGCAACTCGCACGGCAGCGGTCTGTACGCGCAGATCCAGCAGGCCGACCAGCGGCGGGCCTCCAGGGACGCGGGGCCGCCGCCGCGACCCTCCCCTCCGTCGGAGCCTCGCTCGGAGCCGGTGCAGGCCGAGCCGGCCACCTCCCAGACGCCCTCCGTCAGCACCGATGACGAGGAGGACGAGCTGCCGGCGCCCCCGCAGCGCACCGTCTCCGTCAGTCCGCGCTCCCGGCGGAAACGCGGCGGGGTCAGCTTCGCGCCCGGCACGGAGGACAGCCGGCCCGGCGGCGCCAAGCCCCGCTCGCAGTCAATGCCGCGGCCCGGCGCGCTCGACCAGCGACTGGGTCGCGACGAGGGCCTCCGAGGTCGGCTGACCGGCGGTGGTGGCGTTGCGGAGGAACGTCGCTCGCGGCGGGACGAGCCACGCTCGCGCGCGCGCTTCTCGCTCAAGAAGTTCCTCAAGTTTGGCCGTGACGAGAAGCGCAAGGAGCGTGACTTGGTGTATGGCGAGTTCCGCGCGAAGCCGGAGATTATCCACCCGATCGACCGGGCCGGCGTGGGCTGTGTGCAGGTGATCGGTCGGCCGAGCGAGCAGCGGCGCCGCGAGCAGGCCGAGTACCGCCAGCGGCGCGAGCGGCCCTCCCAGGACACCGCAACGACCCAGGACACCTCGCCGACGACGGTGAGTGTGGGGCGGGGCGGCCGGAGCAGGGTGTGGGGCGGGGAGCCGGGTGGAACCTCCCAATGAGGGCTATATTTAGTCCCAATGGTCATTTTATTTGGATAAAATTGTAGGTTCGCGTTACATTTTTGATAATACTTATACTCGCCACTCTGATAAAAGACGGCAGTCAAGTGCTGAAGAATGGAAAACGCTGATTCAGCGCTTTCCGCCCATTAAAACCAGTGCGTGACCGTGGATTCCGTTATGGGAAGTGGATGAATATCGCTGGTATTTCCATTATAGCGTTTCGGCTGCGTGCTCCTCTAGTGCAGACATATGGCGGAACTGGCGCATCTGCACGCGCATCAGCCACCTGGGACTGTCCGTCGTAACAACCACTAACAACCACCTCCTCTCTCTCTCTCTCTCTCTCTCTCTCTCTCTCTCTCTCTCTCTCTCTCTCTCTCTCTCTCTCTCTCTCTCTCTCTCTCTCTCTCTCTCTCCTCTCTCTCTCTCTCTCTCTCTCTCTCTCTCTCTCTCTCTCTCTCTCTCTCTCTCTCTCTCTCTCTCTCTCTCTCTCTCTCTCTCTCTCTCTCTCTCTCTCTCTCTCTCTCTCTCTCTCTCTCTCTCTCTCTCTCTCTCTCTCTCTCTCTCTCTCTCTCTCTCTCTCTCTCTCTCTCTCTCTCTCTCTCTCTCTCTCTCTCTCTCTCTCTCTCTCTCTCTCTCTCTCTCTCTCTCTCTCTCTCTCTCTCTCTCTCTCTCTCTCTCTCTCTCTCTCTCTCTCTCTCTCTCTCTCTCTCTCTCTCTCTCTCTCTCTCTCTCTCTCTCTCTCTCTCTCTCTCTCTCTCTCTCTCTCTCTCTCTCTCTCTCTCTCTCTCTCTCTCTCTCTCTCTCTCTCTCTCTCTCTCTCTCTCTCTCTCTCTCTCTCTCTCTCTCTCTCCTCTCTCTCTCTCTCTCTCTCTCTCTCTCTCTCTCTCTCTCTCTCTCTCTCTCTCTCTCTCTCTCTCTCTCTCTCTCTCTCTCTCTCTCTCTCTCTCTCTCTCTCTCTCTCTCTCTCTCTCTCTCTCTCTCTCTCTCTCTCTCTCTCTCTCTCTCTCTCTCTCTCTCTCTCTCTCTCTCTCTCTCTCTCTCTCTCTCTCTCTCTCTCTCTCTCTCTCTCTCTCTCTCTCTCTCTCTCTCTCTCTCTCTCTCTCTCTCTCTCTCTCTCTCTCTCTCTCTCTCTCTCTCTCTCTCTCTCTCTCTCTCTCTCTCCTCTTTCCGTGCCCTTTTCTTCCTCTTCCTCCATCTCATTTCCCTTTCTTCTCCCTTCTGCTATTAGACGGAATAGTCCAATTTCCTGTGTCTGTATTTCCAGTTAAAGCTGCAAGTCGTCCACCGCGCCTGACGGGTTGTGATGTTTGGCAATTATTGTATGTTAAGTAGATATAGTTCACACGGTGCGTTCCCAGGCATGTGGCACGCTCGCGGAGGTGCGTGAACAAATTCTGGCGTGCATGGCGAGCGGCGTTTGCGATCGGAAGGGTTAAAGGGGCGGTGCTAACGACCTCAATCCTATCAGTGCGGCTCAGTGCTCACGGAGAGCTAGGAAAATCCGCATGCATGATTAATCCGGATGTTATGAGCCTTCGAGAAATCCGCTTCCAGAGAAACATTGTCTGTGATGGCCTGCACTCGCTCGAGTTCGCTTCACTTCTCGTTGGCTTGCCTCAGGCTCCCCCAAGTGACAAACATTCTTGTTTGCCTCATGTTTGTTAGCTCGATTATGCCTCATCACCTGATTACCTACGATCATCGGTCGACCGCATTGTCATTATTGTGTGTGACATCAGAAAGCGTAACTTTTTAAGCTTAACCTATCTGTAATAAGGTAAAAACAAATGGGTGGTTGTCACAACAGCTGCCTCTGGAAATTAGCATGCGCCGCATCGGTACCAACAGCTTCAGAGACGATTACGTCTGTCGCTGCTAAACAGCTTGAGTTTGAATCACTTATAGGTACGTTATTCGTCTGATCAAGTTGTTTGAACAACAAGTGTGGTGCCTAAATTGAACGTCATTTTATCGCAGATACTGCGCATGAAGTGTGGGTCTTAATGAGAAGCATTTGATAATCAGTGACGCAATCGAGCAGCTAAGTGCATCCATCAATTAATCTGATCCGGTGTAGACACCAGACGGTACCTACATTTTATCAGTTCCCAACCCCAACAAGGCCGTTCAATGCCCGATTCCTTGACCTATAGGTACGTCAAATCTGCTCAAATGAATGTTGTTCCCTGAACTGTGTGTCAGCAACGAAAACACTGCGCTATTCTGCTCTCTGCGCTGATCATTAACCCTCGCCCGCACATGCCATTTTCCCATCCTAGAACGCACATGGGGGGGGGGTGGTTGCCACCCCCCCCCGCGCCATTTCGTTCCTGTTGGAGATAGAGCTTAGCGGTAAAGACCAAAAAGATTCTTTGGGAAGAGACGAATCCAACGATACCCAGTTTTACCTTCTCAGGTCAGTCATTGACCTTCCAGGTCAGGTCTAACTAAAAAATGTTGCTATTTTGGGTCAACGTTGGATATCAAGTGCGCTGCTTACCATATACCGATGACGATGCTGTTTTCTGGTGCCAAGCCAGCTAGAACCTCTTTTTCACACTACCCGACCAGATTTTTGCTGCTGAGGTCATGTCAGGTCAAGTTAGGTCAAGGTCAATAATATGTGTTTGTATGTCTGTGTGTATACTTATGTGTGCACCGATTGTTTTTGCGTCCATAATACATGAAATCAAGATCTGAGAAGCTTTTACCAAAAATGTAGTCAAAAAACTTGACAAAAAGTAATTTCCGCTTACCTAAAACGCAATTATCTTAGATGACCTAGGTTGACCTTGACCTTGACCTTGACATCTGTACATCGCCGAACAACATGTTCCATGATAGTTGGGAGGTAAGACTGGCAAAAAAGGCCGAAATCAAGGTGTCAAAAGCTCACAAGGCCCATAGCCAGCGCAAGATGTTGAGAATTGGCCATTTGGGTCATGACATGACCTGAAAAACAAGGTCATATCTCCGAAACCAAAAATCACAGAAACTTGAAATTTTCAGTGGACATCAAGAAAGGATAGAGGAGCAGCTATACGAAAAATCAGCCTTCTAGCTCTAAAAATGTTGAGTGCAGAGCAGAAAGACTACCTGGGGGGGTGGCAACCACCCCCCCCCCCCCATGTGCGGGCGAGGGTTAACATGATCGAACGATCCAATGCTTGTAATTTATTGCATGGTCTGCAGCTGTGGTCTTTTCGAGAGGACATCAATCCCCGTTCTCCCCACAGGTAAATCCTCCGTCGACTCCGCCGCGACTCCCGGAGCGTCAGAGTCACCCAGCTCACCCGACTCACCCGACTCACCCGACTCACCACGGTCAGCACAGCCACGGAGGACACCGTGCATCCACCGGCCTCACCCCGGAAGGTAAGGTGAAACACGCGGAACGCACCGGAGGGAGTGGTGCTCCGGCAGTTTCCCCTCCCGCCCTCCCTCCGCCGGGGGAGAAAGCACACTGTCGGTGAATCTCGTTCCATCGGGCAGTAAAACGCTGGAAGTGGTCATTAGTAGTTAGCTCATAACTAAAAGCTATAGAAGTGTGGTACTATTCCATAGACACCCTGCCTGATCAGTGATCATGTATAGCAACTGGGTTCGGTTATGTTATGCCTGTTAGTTTCTGATATTTTAAGTGCGCTCCCAAATACTTAATACCTAATAACATACAGCCGTAGACGATTACCTACATACCCCTACTGCTGTTAGACAGAGGGAGGTGTGTATCCCAGCCAACTGAAATGTGCATTAAAAGCGATGTGATGTAACATTTCATCACCTCATACATCGTTCCTGGGTCTTAGTAGTTGGATACAGGTGGCCATGACCTTTGAATGATAAACTAATTGTGATTGTTTATCGTACCGGAACCGACCAGTTTTTTTCTGCCGTCCATCGGCTTGCCATCTCTCTTTATGGACTTTGTTTGGACGAGTCACTAATTGGCGAGATGGTATCTGGGTCAGCGGAGGGTTAGGGCCGGCCGACCACTCATTGTGATGCTGCAGACGGCACCGGCAGAGTTTCCCGGACTCATTGTTGGTGGCCGTCGGGCGCCGGGGGTCGCAGGCAGACCTGGTGTGTTCACTGTATAGCGACTCTCTCAGGCCCGCCCCGATACCAGCCGCGGGCCGCGAGTCGCGACCCCGCTGACCTGTATGGAACTTTCAACTTTGATCGATCTGTGGCTCTTAGCCAAGCAGTCGATGATCTCGTTTCAAATTTCTGTGGTCTCTCTCTCTCTCTCTCTCTCTCTCTCTCTCTCTCTCTCTCTCTCTCTCTCTCTCTCTCTCTCTCTCTCTCTCTCTCTCTCTCTCCCTCCCTCTCTCTCTCTCTCTCTCTCTCTCTCTCTCTCTCTCTCTCTCTCTCTCTCTCTCTCTCTCTCCCTTTTTTTCTTTTTCTTTCTCTTTCTCTTTCTCTTTCTCTTTTCTTTCTCTTTCTCTTTCTCTTTCTCTTTCTCTTTCTCTTTCTCTTTCTCTTTCTCTTTCTCTTTCTCTTTCTTTTTTTCTTTCTCTTTATCTTCCTCTCTTTCGGTTTCTATTTCTCTACTTCCCGCTCTCTGTCCCTCTGTCTCTCTCCCTCTTCTTTCCGGTTCTGATTTGATTTATCTTTATTTTCCCTCTCATCCATCTTGGTAACTTTCCGTCCCTTTCCAAATTTCTGCATCTCTCGCAATCGCGACCAGTTTTCGTTGACCACCCGGAGCAGTCCGCGCAAAGTCCGCGTATAAGCAGCTGCGAGACTATACCGCGATTGACAGGTAAAGATAGCTCTGTTTGTGTCGTGAAGACGGCCGGCATTTTACATTCAAGAACGCTGTTAGCAGAAGATGGTCCACTGTCACTTGACCTAGGTTCACTTACAAACCTCAATCCTCATCCCTGTGTAATAAAAAGGAAATGTTACAGCCATTTATCAGTCGAACGTAAACATTTTGAATTTAAAGTTCCTCGCGTGCATACCAAGCCACAATCGCCTGCTTTCTATTAGAATCTTTTACCAATCTTTTACCATACCTATCCGTATTACAATTTTTATGTGCCATCAGATTATCACTTGAACAGGAACATTCCGGATTGTCCTTGACTTTAAATCATGGTAGATAGTAATCCTGCTGTCGATTAGCGGTCATTGCAGTTGCATTCCCTGAACAGGCGCCGCTCACTGTCATTATAGACAGCTCAGCTAACGGAGGTCCGGCATAGATGTCGGCGGCTTTCCTCGTGCTAATGAGCCTACTCTGGCCTCCTCTGCAACACCCGGCCCGGCCCGCTGCCTGCCGTGCTCCCGGACGGCGGCGACACCATCTGGTGCCACTGTCACCACTCCGTCTTCCCCGGGGGTGGTGCTGCTGTCACTGCAGGCTGTCTTCCCGGGTGCCTTTCTGCAGTCACCACCTCGCCGCGCCCGGCGCCGTCTCTCTCCGGTCACGGCTGGACGCCAGTTTCACGACAGATGAGATCGGCGCAGACACTGGGAAACTGATTGCAATGACGCGAGGTCGGACAAGGGACTCTGTCACTGGTTATCTTGAAGGCTAACGAGACATCATTAATCCTTTCACTAGCTTCGTTCTGACTTTTGCAGTAGTGTAAACGAGGTAAACTATAGGCTGGCGTTGTTTGCCATTCAGACTTCCTTCCCCTTGACTTATTAAGCTTGCCGTTTATTCCTTGTTGCTTATTTCTTCCTGTTTTTGCTAATAATTAGTTATCGTTGCAACGCGTGAAAACTGTGCATTTGCGATAATTTACAATTCACATGCACTTTGCAACGTCGTGAAGTTATTCATCTTTTTCCTACCCTGATCTATACATCTTCCGGAGAAGTGCACTCACGGACTTCCCATTCCCTCATCGGTCAGTCACCTGTCACGAGCTGAACACTGAACAGTCGTCCGTTCCAGGTCAGCTGACGCCAGACGTGCTCACTGTTCAGAGCAACGGTCCCGCACTTGCTCACGTGCCGCGCTATTCGATACCAGCGACACTGGCAGCAGGGCACGTGGCGCGTGGTTTCGCAACGTTTCCTCGACATGCTAACACGTGAGAGGCATTGGATGGCGGAATGCTCGTCGGGGTGTGAGCGAAGGCTTAACCACTAGTTACAGTGTTCATTGTTCATCGTTCGGTGTTCATATCTTTGGAAGCAGAGCCTCGTTTTGTTTCTGCAGCGCCACGAATGAAAAAGGAGCATGCACGTAACGTAGGCCTTTCGAATATCACCGTAAGGCACTAAAGGGTCACATTCCAACCAACCAATTATATGCACGCTTTTTGAAGCGGTGTGTTGATAGGACATGTCTGACTTTGCGTGATCCCGATCTACATCGTCAGTATCTAAAATAAGGACTGCATGCTGCTCGGCACAGATTGCAGCATCCTCTGCCCCTTCCTTGCATCCCAGGGAATACACTGTGGCATACCCCCACATTGTCCAGTGTTCGTGACCTGACTAAACATCGCGTCAATCGGCCCTCCGACCGCCCCGCGACCAAAACAGACCGGCGTCCGCGCCTCCCCGTATTTGGAGAGTGGCCTTGCTGGATTTGAACGGACAAGGTGACTCAGAGAAGTCAGCCGGTCCAACGGCCGACGCTGGCGGCCCCCGAGGCACGGTGCTGCATGCTTCCTACGGCACCGGCTGAATTGTACGGTAGACGATCGAAAGCAAGTGAAGGCGACTGCAACACGCTTTCATCGTGACATCAGAGATGATTAGCAATGGTGAAACGATCTCAGTGCAATCACTCCGTTCTTCCCAGAGCACAGCCTTGCGGGATTCCTGGCGCACTGACCATGACACAAGGCCGGGCTGGATGACGTCATTGATGCGCAATGCGAGTGTTGTCATCGGCTTACTCCAGGACCACGGCGGCGCGACGCGCGCTGTGACGCGCCAACACGTCGGCGGCGTCACGGATGACGAGGCTCCACGCCACCGATGACAACGGACGTCGGCTCTCTACACACGTCCGGTGACATGATGTGACACACCGTCAGTGATCTGGGTCAAGCTCTGTTGATGCGTCCCCGCGTGGGCGTGTCGGATGGGCAGGCGGGTCGGGAGTTCCAGCGCCGTCCCGCCCCGTGCCTACGCGGCTCTCCTCGTCAGTCCGCTCCTCTCGACGACTAACGGCCGGTGTCGGTTGGCTGGTCGCCGCGTGTCGAGGCGCACAGCTCGGACTGCTGGAGTGTGGTGAGCCGCGGGCCCTCACCGGCACCGCTATCAGTAGTGTTCCCCGCTGCTCCTCACGGCTCATCGCCTCCCTCACCCGTCCTCATCGAACCTCCTCACTTCTCCGCCGCCATCATCGCTCTGACTCGCGTCATTTGTTCTTGGATACGCCATAACTGCCCTGAACGGTGTCGCCCTCCATTGGAATTGGTCCGGAAATGCCGACGACCAGTTGCGACCTGCCAGCCAATCGCCGGTGGTCTGCGCGCTCTTGGTCAGTCCAGAACTCCGGTCTTATGCGGAGACGGTTGTCCTGCTTGAGGGCAATGCTGCGTAAAACCGAGAAGCGATCCGACAGTAAAGACCATGGGCGTTAGTGATGTCAATTACGGGAAATCGGAATACCGATACCAAACCAAATACCAACCAGAACCACGAGAAAATACCGAAACCAAACCAACTTGGGAAAATGATGGAAATGCCAACTTTTTACCGATTTCTTAGTCTCTTATACTTTAGTGAGGGTTTATGATACCAACCAAATACCAAACACATTGCGATTGAAATACCAAATACCAAGTTGGTATCGGTTTGGTATCGGTATACCAAAAAGTTGGTATCCGATTGACATCTCTAATGGGCGTCTTCTAAAATTGTACCCTGAAGTATTGTTTCCATGACGCTTCCATTGGCCGTTATTGTCAACGCTGTGACTGCTTCAAACGACATATGTGGAAAGCTGCAGGCTGCAGTCCATGACCGGATTGACTGGTTCGATCCCTGGTTAGCACGAATACTGGTCGGCTGCTTATCTACCTGATCGGAGCCAGGCATGGACTGTTGAGCACAGACACAACTACTTTCCTTATGGCGAGTTTTGTTATGAGCATATTCCGAGCATTCAGTACTCTCGCTCCTGTGCCAGTAGCTGCTTTTGCTCTGCACGCCGTCGTACAGCGGCGTCTCGCCTCTCTCCGGCTGCTCGCTCTGCTGCCTCCCCTGCTCTCCCTCTGTGTGCAAACGGCGTCGTCTCTGGTGTGCACCGCACCGTCACCGTGGGGGTAGTTGGTCTCGCTAGATACACATTACACACGGCAGGCGGCCTCCTGCCGAGCTGGCCCGGGTCGCGCTCGGCGGAGACGCGGGAGTGGGATCGGGAACGTCCGGAGACGCGCAGTGTGGTCGGACCAAACTCGACGACACGGAACGTGGACGGACTGGGGCCAAGCTCAGTGACATTGGGTATGGTCCGAAAAGCAGCCACGACAAAGAGGTTGGCAGGATGTTTGAACACCGTTCCCTTCCAGGGGAGCAGCGCCCGACCTTGATATTTTGTGTAGTTGTGGGTTGTTCACTAGTCTTGAGAAGTGACTCCCTGTTTCCCTCGTCGTGGCCTCGTGACGCACCCGGTGGCCGTTTTTCCCGTCAATGTCTGGTTATGGGTGGTGTTTTATTGGCTGAACACGTCACCGGTACTGATGTCATCGATGGGGGAGCGGCGCCGGTCGGGTGGTGACTCGGCAGACGGCACCGTTCGGGGAACGGTCGCCGATCGGTGACGGTTTCTATCCACCGATCGGACGCGTCTTGTCACGTCATCAGATCCGATAGCCTCTGATTCCTAATTTGGTCGGATGAGCACTGAGAACGGCGTGAAGTGTTTGTCCTGCTGGGTCGGTGAGAGGTTGGTCGTTTGACAATAAAGGCGTTGTTTCGACGTCGGGCCCGGATGACGAGTGATGGCGCTGCGGTGCCCTGTTCCGCTGTGTGCAATGCGCCTCTGGGAGCTCGATCATGTGAAGGTCTCATGTCTCAAGTGAACAAAGCATTTTGCATTCTCAGACATGCTGCCGGTTTACAATTTCAAATGGCATGCCCAGCTCATGGACGGAACGAATGCACCGACACGACATTGCACTGCGGCTTCGATACGGTCCAAGTGCACCTGCTCAACACATTCGGGCTGAAGGTGAATCATGTCATTAGTCATTGCCTCATTACTCATTGCGAATCCAGATATGCGAATGCTCATGAACCTTGTAGAGCTTCCAGCAGTCGATAGGAATATGAAATGAACGGTCTTCTAATTCACTTTTACGCCGCTGGCTGCTGATTATTATAACTAGCAGGAAGAATGCTGGTCGCTCCGATCGTATTGTTTTCAGTCAGCATACCTACCTACTTTATTTCCTCTGCAGCGTTCGTATGAAACTTATACTTGTTTTAGGGTATGTCTCAAGCATCCATTTTACTTCGCATGTATGATGTATAACTTAACGAAACATACACCATAAGGAAATTCACCCTTTGTTTTAAGTTTGAAAATAGCTGAGCAATGACCACTCCCAGATATAAACAGAAAGGACATGTTCGAAAAAAAAATCACAATCACTTCATGCAATCAACTGGCCTATACCTACCTACCCATAACCGCTAGCTTGTCATGTTGTCGCTTAGTCGAACGGTTGGTGCGCCTGCCGGTGGGTCGCCGCCGGTCAGTCACGTGCTGTCGGTCACCGGTCGCTGACCAGCGGTCACGGAGCGGTCTCTCTGTGGTCACGTCGGCCGGCCGCGGCGCGTGGTCACTGTGTATTTGTTCCGTACCGCCCGCCCGCCGTCCGCCGGGTGGTTTCTGTCGGCCTGTTTATTCAGCAGGCGTCCGTCTCTGACCGGATGTTTGCCCTCGCGTGGCAAACCCTCTCGATCTCTACCCGCTCGCCTCTGTCCTTGATGCTTAGTATGACAATCGGTCCCGTGGATCTTAACCTGTGGATTCCACATTTCTATGTCTAGGCGCATGACCGTCCTCTCCGTCCCACTCCTAGTCCTGCCTATTCTGTTGTGCTCGGAGCTTGCATGGCATGGTCCCGACCCGCCCTGCTTCTCGTGTCTCTCTCAGCCATCTCCCTGCTCGGCGGCGCATGCAGTCAGCTCCAGCCTCTCTCGCTCTTCCCTCACTGGCCCGTGAGCGAGGCGCCCCAGCTTTCCCCACATCCGCCGCCGCTTGTGGTGGTATGCGGGCCGTGGCGGTGGCCGCGGTGGGTCGGCGGGGAAGCGGGCTTCACTGCGCACCGCCGACCCCGGCCCTCCTGGCTCGCCCGCTCGCCCGCCCGCTCGCCCGCCCGCTCGCCCGTCCGCTCGCCCGCCCGCCCGTCCGCTCGCCCGCCCGCTCGCCCGCTCACCCGCTCACCCGGCACGCCGGCTGCGTGTCATGTGGGTCAGTGAGCCGCGGTGACAAGGCACACTGCGCTGTAGACGAGCCACAAGCTTGTGAGCGAGATGAGATGTTTTCGAGGGGATGGTTGTGGTTCGCCAAAGGTGATTTCCTTGAAGATTTGGCAACGGAACAGGATGTCTTTCTTCTTCTGTTGAGGATGATTAATTTCGCCAAATGCACATTGCAATGGATCTTGATTCACTCCTGATTTGTTTTTTATGCTTAACGATGTGAGCTACCAAAATGTGATAATAAAACAGACTACGACAGACAGCCTCGGAAATTGAAACCCTGCTCCCATTACAAAAGTTTGCTTTCTGAAAGACCACGACAGACGTAATCGGTAATAAAACTGATGGAAAACAGGTAGCGGAACATGACCGAATTGACGTGAGAACTGATGAAAGGTGCTTACCACACACCTCACCGCCTTGGATTGGTCCGGGTGATTGATGACCATTGGGTGATGGTCCGGTCTCGTCGTCACGGTGGTCCGTTCAGCCCGAGTGTGTGTGTTTATGTAATCGGTGCGGTCTCCGTGAATGTCAGGTGGTCATTTTTGTGTAACTGTGACAAGGACACGCACGGGTGGCGTCACGGTGCGCCTCAGTCTGTGGTGAAATACGTCACCGCCACCCGGCTGCTGCGTCCGGCCACCTGACTGCCTCGGCTGGTAGTCCACTGTCTGCTGCGGTCGAAAACTAAACGGATGATGACCACTCTGGTTTCTCACCCGATCAATGGTCGTTGGAATATTTTTACCAAATATTACGCGATTATTGTCAGTGGTTACCAGTAGGTACCTAACCTAACCATGTCATTTATCATCCATGCAAGATGTGAGTTTTTTTAGTTAGATTCGAAAATGCGATATAAATTACCGTAACATTTCAAAATTAATACAACAGGTAGACTTAAGCATATTTCAACCAATTTAAAGGCTCAAACCTATTTAAGGTGTGCTAAGTAATCTCGCGAGAGTGGAGTCTTGATGAGCCTTTACTGCATCGAGGTTGGAGCAGTTTCTTATCAATTCCCCTGAGTGCCCAATTTCGCTCTGTTTCAGGTCGCCCGAAGCCGCCGCCCCCGCCGCCGCCATCGTGTCGCCAATCGGGCGACCCGATGACTCCGCCCACCCGACCGCCGCCGCCCAATCCGCACCTGTTCAGCCGGTCACGTGACGGCTGGGCTCGGGCGCCTGACAGCGACTACGCCAATCTGGGTGAGGCAATGGCGCCCGGTCGCAGGGGCGGATGTAGCCAGCATGTCGGGGAGGCGAATCATAGCAGCACTGCATGATGATGGCACGATCAATGGGAGAACAGCATGCCTGAGGCTAGACTCGGACAAAGTTTTATGTTAAGGAATGTTTAACTTTGCCTGTTCTGTTCCCTGTTCTTCCCCCTATATATTGTTCACATTAATTGCACAGTTATGGAAATATTAAGCATATGCATATATCTTGTCCAATGGGGGTGCATGGTCGTTGATCATTTACATAAGCAAGGCTGTAAGCGCCGTCAATGAAAATGGTTGTACGGTTATAGTTGCCCTGATTCGATTTTGATATGAAAAACGCACAGCAGTTTGCGTATCATATCGTTCCTTAATTGTTGGTTTGTGGATTGATACCAAACACTGTATATGATTTTTATATATTTTCGGTCCAGCTTACTCAGACTCGCTGAACGAACTGCTGATTCTGACAGTGGTTTGACAATTTGTATTTGAGACTAACCCATGTGGATAGATTATAGATAGGGATTGATGAGTGGTGTGAAACGCCTGAGTTGTCATGCTTTATTCAAATCAAAGCTGATTGCTGAGTTAACGATTCAATATTTACCTACGATAAACGCACCTGTGCTTGGTAAGTAGCATAACATCATCAATCACGACAGTCGATAACACACAAGCCAGTATCCAACGTCAGACCGCTAGAGCCCTCGGACCACTTCACTTCAATTTTATCCCGGATCTGAAGCCCCCTTGTGCGGAACGAAGACCGACAGGGCGCCGTTTCCTGGCCTTCGCCGAGCCTTTCCTTCCCGTCCGGTCGACCGTTCTATTGAGCGCGTCTCACGACCCTGACGTCCCGTGCTGCCGACCGGGGGACGAGAGGCACAGCCCAGCAGAGTCGTGGTCGGCGGTTTAACGGTGCGGCGTCGGTCACACCAGCGCCGCAGCCTCCGCGGCCGGCGGCACGGCCTTCGTCCGCGCCGGTAGCCAGCTGTGCTCGCGCCGCGCCGCGCCGGACCGGACCGGCCCGCGGCGCCGCTCCGCGAAACACTCTCAGTGGACAATAGCGCCGATCGGGTGGTGGTCGGCGCAAAGGCATTCGCGGCGAGCAATAGTGATGACAGTGCAGTCAACAGTGCTGACGTTGCAGTCAACAGTACTGCTGCTCAGTCTTCAGTGCTGACCGCTCAGTCACCAATGCTTATCACTCAGTCACCAATCCTGACCGCTCAGTCAGCAGTATACCTACTGACTGCTCAGTCAATACTACTGACCGCTCAGTTAGCAGTGCTGACCGCGGGTCATTTGGCGCCCGACTGCCGCCGCTTAGTCCAGGTCCCGGAGACCGCTCCGACGTCAGTCGATTCGAGGCCCGGTGACCGCCCCGACGCCAGTCGAGCGGAACAGAGACCGTGGCCGTGCCTTTGTTCCACCTTCTGACTTGAGGAACAGGGTGGAGGGAGAGGAATGATGGTGAGCTAACCACCAGACTGCCAACATCTTAGCAGTGGCAATCGACGGAGGGTGCTAGGGGTTTCGGTCCTCAGTTTGCGTGCCACACCTACCTAAAAGAAGAACAATGTCTGCACAAGACACATTGTCAACAGTTTTTAAGCCCCTCGCAAAGTAAATCTTTCCTATTCTTTTTGGTTATTGTACTTCTCACAAACAAGTGTCGGCAAACCTTAGGTACCATAAAATGATTCAAAGCTTCCCTGGCCTTGTGTCGTCCAAGTCGTAAAACACACTTCCTGTATCTGGTATCACCATATCCCAGGTCCTAAAAACCTGGGAACGGCCGTACTGCACTGTGCACAGCGCGCAGCTATTTCCTTGACCCGAATCCAGTCACTGCGACAAATGTGTGCGCAGCCAGGCAGTGTGACTGTTCAGTGTTCAGTGACCACCCAGCGGTGACCGCTGCCGCGTGGTCCGCCTGCCTCTGTCCCCTGTTCCTCGTGGTGGTCCAGGAGACCGGTGACCACCGGACCGACGCCCGTCCTTCAGACCTGATCACGACTTGACGGCACAATGCACACACTAGCTCGAAAAGCATGTGTAGATAGATAATACGCCGTATTCAGCCTGTAGCTAAAGATGGCCGGTATGGTCAGTAGGCTAGGTCCGATTCAGTCTGCTCTCATTCTCGTTTGGTCTCTCTGCAGACGATTTTCTGTGTCTGAATTCAGTTCCACCCAACGTGTAAAGACCGGAAGCCTTTTGCACCACTATACCTAACAAGGTAGATTTCGATTTATTTTTGATTAGCTTCTCTTGCACCGTACACTCATTCGAAAGACCCCACCGATAACTTCCTAGATTTTGTATCGAGCGGCTGTAGGTTAGCGTTATGGGAGCTGGTGTAAGATGAATTATCAGTTATCACCGTATGCTAGTTTTAAGTAGATGAAAATAGCTATCCGATTCTACCTAGCTAGGTATTTTGGTGCAAGAAGTCTCTGTTCAGCTCGTTCGCGGGCCTATTCAGTGTGTCTGGACCCGCAGGCGTCAGCAGGGCGGGCCTGACGCCGAAAAAGCCGGGTCGGGGGTCGCGCAGCCGGGAGCGGTCGGAGGGCTCCGCCTCTGCCGACCACCAGCCGCCGGCGCTGCAGGTGCGTGACGGCCCGCTGACGTGACGTGTGACGTGGCGTGACGGGACGTGACGGGGGAGTGGGTGTGACGTGTGCCGTGCAATCCGGTCCGTGCTTTGGTGGGAGACGGCGGGATGTGAGATGGCTACGGGAACGGAACGGGACGGGACGACGACACTCGGGACACGACTTCACTGGGATCCGGGCCGTGACAGGACGGGACAAGGGAGAGCGAACGTAACGAGGACCAGGACCCGGGCTGAGCGGACGTGACGGAGGGGGGGGGGGCGGACTGGACCGGACCGGGACGGGTGGGTCTCTCCGGCCTTCTACCAGCGGAAGGCAGGCGATGGCCGCCGGTTCCGCGGCTCCTCACTCTTCCTGTCATTGTGGCGAACCAGTCTGCAGCCGCCCCCCCCCCCCCCCCGCCCCGTCTGGACCTCTTCCCCCCCCCGTCCCGCAGCCGCCCGGCCCGAACTCCCCCCCCCCCCGCCCCTCTCGGCCCGGCCCCATGTGGGGTACATGGTGACTGCAGATGCACCCGGGGTGGGCAGTGAAAGTCGTCCGGCTGGTCCTACTCCTGTGAGCATGAGCTGCAGCCAGACCCGTCCGCGGCCGGCCGCGCCGTCTGTTGACACGACATTAGGCAGGATGTAGATGGCATGCTGGGCGCTGCTGTGTGCTGCATGAGGGCTGCACGGTTCCACGTATGGGCTCCAGAGCACCCCCTCAAGGTCGTGGCGGCCGGCCGGCTCACTGAATGGCTTTGTGTTATGTAGATGGGGGTTGTCGAGATGCTTCACGTGGCTTCTTAATTAGGAAATGCTCACCAACGTGCTGTTAAGACGTGTAAACGTGATGCCTCCTAGATTGTTTATATGTGCAGGCACCTTTGTTTGGCATGTTTGTGTGAAGAGAACAAAGTGTTGTTTTAGTGAATATTTTTGCCTTTTAATCGTCGCTGTTGATTCGTATTGGTCACTTTACTTAGCGACTAGATTAGCGATTAGCGATTATCGATAGCGATTACTTAATGCCAGAAAAAATACGAAAAAGTGAATTTTATTCCTTAATGTCGCTATTTTGCATTTAGGTACAGCCTATAGGTATGTAGGCATGTGCCTACCTATTCGACGAGGGTTTGTGTGGGCATTAATATATAGGCATCATGTCCATCGAATGTACCACTTTCCGTATGTTGGTTCTTTTACCCCGGGTGCTTTTGGCTAGCTGTCTCGTCATCACTGCTTTCCTCGTGCTTTGTAAAACGCAGTTACCTATAATGTAAGCCGTATTGACGTCAATAGGTTTCTGGATCACCATGTTTTTTTTTTTTTTTTGCCCCTTGTATATATGTGGTCACTGTTCATCCCAGTGTACCCATGGAGCTTTACACATTGGATGACTTCAGGCTCAGTGTGTGTTGTACTGTTGTACGTTCCCGTGCTTTTCATGAGTGTTCTACATGGCCTTTATCATTCGTGTGCCTTGTGTGATCCGTATGTCATCTATGTGCCTTGTGTGACCGGTATGTCCTCTTGTGTGCCTTGCGTGACCCGTATGACCTTTTAACGCAGTCCACCTCGCGTCCCCTCTGACCGGGCCGTGGTGCCCCCTCTGACCGGCCGCCCCCCCCCCCCCTGACCCCTCTGACCCCGGCCCGGTGCCGCAGGCGGACCAGGTCGGCCTGCGTCGTCAGCAGCCGTGCCGCCTCAGTCTGCGGGAGGCCCCCGCCTGCGGACCGCCTGCCAGCCTGCTGGACAGCTATGACGCCGTCACGGCCGCCAACAGGGAGGCGCTGCAGCAGCTCTGTGAAAAGGTGAGGTTCCTTCGAGGTACGCTGGTGGAGCGAACGACACACCTGTATGTATGAGACCGGGAGCTTGCCTGGATCCATGGCGGCAGAGGGCACGGAGCTTTGTAGCATTTCTGGTAGCTGCAGGTTGATATACGCTGGGAAATGTGTAGTGGTTGAGTTAGTACCTATAGAGTCCTTTGGCTAATATGAGGGATTATTTGCTGGAGCAGAATAGACAGCAAGTCATAAAATATACATAAACATGGCTTACTGTGGAGTGAGCTCTTAAATTAATGACGGATAATTTCCCTTCAGATTTATACGTAGTCATACTCGTAGCATAGAAAACAGACTTTTCTTTATGCATAGAGGTGTCTGTTCAATAGAACTATTAGAATGCAACGACTCCTGTTACGGTAACGTCCTGTTTTCCTCCACGCGGACTCTTCTTCCTCCATAAACACATGATTTTCCTTAATTTGTCATTTTTGTCCAGCTGTCAGAAAACTGTCTCCCTGAATCTTTCCTTCTGCCATTATACATTGTTGGATGCTAAAAAGATACTGCTGCCCCTTGTTAATAGACATCAGACATGCTACCTATTGGTGCATTGTGTGTCTGTTAAAACGTATAATTGTTATGTTATGTGTTACGTCGGTTACGAAGCGCTATCATTTGCTTTGCGAAACGACTTTTGGCGTGGTACAAGCTAATTCGAGCTCGAATATTTCAAAATTGTTCATCACTAGCTTCTGTAGGCATCATCTGATAGTCTACACCCCTCCCTCACCGCATGCATATTGCCTACCATACTTTACCTTCATTCCACCCAGCTCTTCCGTCGGTCTAGTTGGTACACCACGGGACATATCGGGACTCCTGTATGGTCGAGCCGGTCGGTATGAGGCTGGGATGTGGTCTCAGGTCTGTAGCGGGTCGGTGTTGGTGCTAGTCGCTGCTTCCCCGGTGGTCCCAGGCTGCACGAACCCGTCCTTCCGCCGGCAGATGTCGGGCGCAGTGCCGGCGCCGCTGCTGCCGCTGCAGGCAGCGCCACTGTCGCTGCGCGATTTCCAGGTGTCGCCCCAGTCGCAGCTGCCGCTCGGTCGGCACCTGTTTGTGGAGGCGGTGTGCGGCGGCGAGCCGGTGGCGCTGTGTCTGACCGAGGGCCCGATGGCGGCCGCGCCGCTCTCAGTGCCGTCCGTGACCGACTTCACTGACACGGTGCCGGCCCGACTGCTGGCTGACCCTCACGGGCCGGACGGGTCACAGCGCATAGGTCAGTCGACCGACCGACGTTCGGCCAGCCGGGACCCCGACCGCCGCTCAGACGACAGAGTTGTCTAAAACTGACGCATGAACTTGGTTGAAAGTAAATTATGATGTAATGGCTGCATATTATGCATGCTTCTGTTAAATGCATGAATAAGTTTCAGTGGTAACATGGATTGCGCCTTATGTCGTACCTACGCGAACTCCTAGTACCTATCTTCTGGCAAATGGCACCAACTTTTCACTCATATACTTTTTATTTCGGGTGATTGCACTTTGTTTATAAATGTTAGGCTCAATTATTTGCATGCAGTCATCGTGAAGTGTTGAATGTTGCCTGTAGGTACCTATGTACCCAGGGGCGTCGCCACGGATTTTTGAGTGGGGGGGTCGGGTTTCTAGTCTTCACCCGATGGGTAGGGGTGTTTTTTTTTTTTGCCACACTTGCCAGTTTTGTGCGTGCGTATGTGCATGTGTGCGCGTGTAACAAAGCGGCGTGCAGCGCCGCGAAATTTGGTATAACCTATTAGGTAGGTATACCTACCTACATCACTTGCGTAAAAATTATCACTGGTCACTTAAGGTCAGGTCGCTATGTCAAGTTCAGTTATACGGTATACCTCTATCAAACTTTCCCCTCTCGCCATTCTTGTAGCTTTTCTCCCATAACTTCGAAATTTGGTACACTGTATACCTAATGTATGGGGTTATACGTGTCAGCAATTCATGATTCTGAGGATTTACATCTATGATCTGGAGGCAGGTCAAATACGTGACCTCATCATTAGAAAATAATGAGAAATTATAAAAAGCACGAATGCCTCCTGCTTTGAAAAAGTTCGTCAGAAACGCAAAATATCTTTGGAGCCATGACAAATCAGCTCATCATTGCCAGGGACAGGGTGCAACTTATGGCGAGTGATGACTCGAAAGGTCATTAGTGGAAATGTCCATCGATGGCCACCAGCATTTTTTTTTCTACAACTTTTGACGAAGACGCGGTAGAGCGATGACAGCACCTGGAAGGTGTTCATAGTTCAGCTCAACAACACGGATCCATTCATATGCAGCAGGAGGTCCTTTTTCGATCTGGACATAACGTTGACCTGAGGTCGTTTTAACGTTAATTCTGAATGGTCAAATTTTAACTCATGTGACGCGTCTCAAAGAGATAAACACAGTGGTGACAAGACAACATATGTAAATACCATACAAACTCACGGAATCTAAAGTTATTGCAAAGCAAATGTTTCGGCAGAATCTGTCCAGTTAACTGTTTGCCTTCTATGGGCAAAACATAGACCTGAGATGAAATCTGACCCGAAGCTAGCGAAAGAGCGTTGAAAGAGCTATCGAATATGTTTTCTGCTTCACTGTAGCCCTTCTATTGGTGGGCTCCCAGTCGCTAACTTATAACGTATACTAAAGTAACGCTGATGTATGCTTTCGACCCCTGATCGATCTAGAGGTTTGCGGAAAAAAGAGCATGCTGCCCGTGACGAGAGAAAGCCGATGATACCCATTTACAAGGTTTCGGGTCATCTCAGGACTCAGGTCATCGCCAATACGTAGGGAAACTCGGGACCTGCTAGAACTTTGCGAATGTAAGTTGTGATGGTTTTTCGAGGTTCTGATTACGAATGTTATCTTAGTTTTGAACGAAGATGATGACTCCATGCATTTGGGGTAGATCAGGTCAGGTCAGATCGACCAGTACCTAATAGTGGATGACCACCACCGATTGCTTCCTAACATGTTATACATATGTATAAGCAACACAACTACTTCTTAAATGTTCAGATGGGCGCTAAGTTCAAAATCAGCTCCAAAAACTATCCTATACCTAAATTAAAAGCATGTTATGAAAAAGTGAACCAAGGTCATCTTTATTTGAATCAGGGATATCGATTTATTTTTAAGTAGGTGATTAACACGAGCGCACCGGAAGTTTCGTTGCAATCAGCTCCTTTTGCGCGACTTCTTTGCGAAAGCCCGAGACGGTTTCATCTGACTCCCTTTCCCCTACATGTGCACTGTACAGCTAGTTGTGACGATAGCCATGGGGCTGAGGCTAGTTTGTAGTTGTAGTTAGGTTCTGATCCGACGAATCGACTGCGACCATTTTTTTTTTTTTACGATCAGACGAACGCTCGGGGCAGTTTTGGCGCGTCCAATCCTTTGAGGGATAAAAAGGTACTAGAATGGTGGCTACTTAAAAATATTGTTGTGCTGGTGTTCCCCGCCCACAGCTAATTGAACTTTAGGTAATTGGCTAATTGGCTTTAGGGAGCTCTTGAAGCGATTCTGAATCTGATGTATTTGTTGGTGTTGCTGACGCCTGCTTCACTGACATAAAAGCTAAAAAAGCATACTCAGCATCGCAAAAAGTGGGGGGGTCGACACCCCCAGTTTTCAAGAGTGGGGGGTCACGACCCCCCCCCCGACCCCCCCCCCCCCCCCCCCCCCCGTCGGCGACGCCCCTGTATGTACCCATAGGCATGTTCCTAATTGCTCAAATTCGGTAGTTCTTCCAGTGTCCTAGTTTAATACCATCTCAGGTGTCATGACAATCTAACGATCTGTCGCAGGCCCTCTGACAGTCCCTAGAGTCTAGACCCTCTGACAGTCCACAGTTGTATGATAGTCTTTGGTCTTTCTGACAATCGCTGGTTGTTTACAGTCCCTAGATATCTAACCTGACGCTGGCGGTGACTGCAGTCATCTGACCTGACAATGACAGACCCCAGTTATCTGACCTAACGGACCCAGTTGTCTAACTTGATGGTCCCCAGGTCGTCTGACATGCCCTGTTGTTGTATGGCAGTTTCTTAGCTCAGCTGGAAGTCCCCTGATCGTCTTTTTTAGTCTAACCGTTCTCTGTTGATGTGGCAGGCACCGTCCACGTGATCCCCGCCGCGCGGGTGCGTCCACTGTCGGCGCTGCTGGACGCCCAGCCGGCCGAGGCGCCGCACTCCGCCACCCTGCTGCTGCTGCAGACGGTGCGCCAGCTGCAGCTGCTGCCGGCCGTGGACGAGCAGCTGTCGCAGCTGGTGGCGCTGACGGTGGACCGGCTGCAGCCGCCGCGGCTAGCAGCCGTGCTGTCTGCGCCGCCGCCGCCGCCCGGGGCCGGCCTGTCGCCCTGTGTGGCCGCTCTCTCGGTGCTGCTGCGGCTGCTGGGTGTGCCGGCGGCCGTGCAGCGGGCCAGGGATGGCCGCGGCGTCAGCAGTGTGCCAGACGGTCCCCAGGTGACCGAGCACGAGCTGCTGGCCAGCCTGCTGCAGCGGGACGATGACGCCTCGCTGCGCCGCGCCGCGGCCGTGCTCGGCTGCCTGCTGTGGGCGCCGGCCGGCCTGGCGCCCGCCGAGGCGCCCCGCTGGCTGCACCGGCAGCGCGCTGAGCTGCTGGGCGCCGCCGTCCGCTGGGACCAGCCGCCGGCCGTCGACCAGCTGCTGCGACTCTGCTTCCTGGCAGAGACGGACCCGGAGACAGTGACCGATGCCCTGGAGCTTATCAACATCTGACGTGGATTATAGAACACGGTGGCTGTTTTACGCGTTCGAGATCTGATGGGGCTACAGATGGCCTAATGCGACAGGAGACAGTCTTATCGTCGACTCGTAGTGATCGCGTTAGAGGTACGGAGCACCGATGTGTCCCGGTCTCCTCGGCGCTCAGGGCCCGGTGAGGGCTCCACTGTGTTTGTTATAGATGACACCGTGTCCGCACTCCCGAGCGCTGTCAGTCGCCTGTGGTGTGGTCCGACGCCATCTGTGTGATATGCTGGTCCAATGCACTGTCCTTCGTGTTCTCAGCAGATGTCGCGAGAGCTTTCACAGGCGGCATCTGAGTCGGACTCTGGAGCGCTTGGCTGTTCTGATGGGACTATTAGAGAGGACCAAACTGCTTACCGGTGTGAGCAGCGCTTTCTGACGTATTTACGTTTATATATGCAGATCGTGCCTTATTTTGTACCTAATATTTGTGGAAACATGGGTTGTATGTAGTATGAGAAGCATGTTGTGACGCTGAATCAGTTATTTGAATACATATGAGGTTGGGCTGCAGTACCTATACAACGCTGAGTTTCATTGGTGGTATCTAAGGGACGTGAGGAAGTGTAGATCCATTTCTACAGCATAACTAGACGATGAACTTCATAAGACGGTTGGTGCTGTAGGTGTTGTGGTCGGGACAAGAATGGCGTGTCTCCATGGCAGGCGTGACGCCACGCGTTGTCTTCTCGTGTGCGCTAATGAGGTGTTAGATACGCGTGCTAAATACGATGGAGTTTGGTGATCGACACTGCCGGCATCGTATCGTGGAAGCCATGTGTTATCCATATCCATTGCGTCCATGGATCTGCAATGCTGGAAATCATGCAGGAACTCGGTACATCCCCGACCTGTCTAATATTGTTATTTGTTACATTAGTGACACAACAGATGAGAACCAGCTTTCTGCGAAGCACGCGTTATTACTCTGTTCGCGGCACAATATCCCGCTGTATTGCAGCCTGCAAGAGCGGCTGCTGCCGTATGTACAACATAGTAACTTCAGACTCGCTGAGCGGTTGTTCTCAGCAGGTGCTGAGATACAACAAATGATTCATACAATTTACTTATCAATTCATCTAGATTTAACTATTTTAATTCATCTTTGAATATATTAAATAGTTTCATATACGAGTTTGCTTATCTATGTACGAGACATATCCATTTCAGCAGCCTAGTGCCTAACCCTCAAATGAGCCTTAGAAACTCTGGTCGTAACAATAGCCATATGCGCGTCGTGTCTGTGTGTCGCTGGACCTGTAGACGGTGGAGCTGTGTCGCTCATTTCACAAAGCCCGCAAACTGCGCGTGTTCACCTTTCGTCGTCTCTACAACCTCTGCCATTTGAGCTAATTCGATTTGCACCGCCATCCTTGCTGGCCTCAGAACACGGTAGCACTCCAGGTAACGTCGCTGGAAATGGCAGCTCGAGACGTTCCGTTTTATAATTCAGACGGAATAATTTAGGTTATGTTCGCGGCAATGAGCTCAAAGCACGCTATGTGGGCTGGGCCTGTCAAACAGCTCTGAACGCAACCCACGGGCTGCCGAATGCGTACGGCCTGACCGTTGGACATAGGACCCATGGAAGCAGGTCTATACACATTACACCGGTGTGGTGTGGATCAAACAAAATGCAGGTCGCTGGTGGGAGCCGATTCAATTGACAACTTACTTGAAGTTGACACTTACCCTTAGCTTGCCACTTACCATAACCTTGGGTCCTCGATCTCTTAAATTTAACTGCTTGCATGCCGTAACAAGAACCCACTTACCGTACCACGAAATTGAAATTAAACGGCACCTGCGGTCCTGCAATTACTCTCCGACGTCTTAGGTATGCTCCCAACCAACGTGCATCGTAGCATCCCTCGGTAGCTGGCGATAAGCGCTCATTTGCCCATTATTGGACCGTTGCCTCTTGACCTGTCACGAAGGGAAATAAATGAGTTTAGCCGCCGTTTATTTATGCAATTACTACAGGGTTCAGAGGCAAATGTGCGGATAAGTTAATGAGCGCAGCTCTGCCACCCTGTCTCATTTAAATGTCACGTTGCATGCACTGGAAATTGTTTACCTACGTGAACTCAATAACGTCATCTGTAAGAGATATATTGCTTCCAAGTTATTTTGCAAGAAATGCATAGTGATCTTTCGTGTTATTTCCTCGAGCAGCGACATTTATGTCGACCGTTAAGAGTTTAAACCTGAAATGTAAAAAAAAAGACTTTGAAAATTTATGCAAACTTTTTTGTGACGGATTATCGTGTCTCTATTTCTTTTTGATCTTCTTGGGAAGCTGTGGGTCTCACGAGCTGCAGGCCGAGCAACATTTCCATATCGGAGTCGTCCGATATATTTTAGCGGCCCTGCGGCGGTGTGTGATGTGCAGGCTGCAGCCCCATCCAGCCTGTCTCGTCGTATGCCTCGGACTCGCCGCTATTTCAGTGGGATGAGAGGCGGCTGGGAGCTACCCGCCCTACTCGGCTGGCCCGAGCCCAGCCGCCCCACGTGTCCCCAGACCCCAAGCGGCGGCGTCGTGAGTGGTGTGCTGCCATCCTTTCCGAGCCCCGAGCGACGTCGCGTGGTTCCAGCTCACCAGAATCCCTAGAGCTCTAAGTTAACTCGGCTGGAGACAAACATGGCGTGAGCGCGGCTCGGCGCACTAACTCGGAACTTCAGACGCATCGTGGAGGTGGAGCGACGCAGGACGAGACGTGAGGCCCTGATGATCAGAGCGGGAGTGGCACTGGCGGAGGCGCGGTCCCGCCGCAATATTGTTAGCTGTGGCTCCTGCTGGTGTGCGGTAGAAGTTATCCAACCGTCGGAAAACAGCGGGTGACAACCGTCGGAAAACAGCGGGTGACAGCCACCTCCAACCGTCGGAAAACAGCGAGTGACAGCCACCTCCAACCGTCGGAAAACAGCGGGTGACAGCCACCTCCAACCGTCGGAAAACAGCGGGTGACAGCCACCGGGAATTATTTGATTTGCGGCATAATTAGGATGGGTTTGAAATCTTGATTAGATGAAATAAAATTAACATCACCACTAATTGAATGAAATAAAGGTCACGGCATTTTATACGAACAAATGCGCACAACACCAGACGCCAATGGTTTTGAGCTCGTTGATTGATATTCAAACTCTATGTAAAAGGATAGCATTCTTAATTTTCAAGCCTTGATATAATAAAAGGTTGTTAACCAAGCCTGAGCTGAGCCAAATTCCTTGCAAGTTGAAACGATGGCCAATGTAAAATGTCATATAAAATAAGCTTCCTCACATTTTCTCCTAGCACTTTAGTGGTAGACTGTTCCGCAGTACACTAGAGTTATGCGGCACAGCCTACCCATCAGAATACGGCGGGAGAGAATGCTGTGGGTTTGCGTTCTTTAACCCGCGCCCCGTAGGGCTACCGGCGGACCCTACCACCCGTAGGGGAGGGGCCGTTTCGGCCCCCCCTAAGATCTCGGAAATTTACCGGCCGATTTTCAAAATTCAAACGGCGTTCGATAGCCCCACCCGGGAACTACCTTGTGACCAAATTTCATTGACCTAGGTCAAACCGATGACGTCACAGGTCAGGTCAAAGGTCATATTTTCACCGTTCACAGGCAATTCAAGAAATGTGCTGTGAAAGCGAGTAAATTGGTAATTTATTGAAAACCATCGATGGTACATTGTTCGTCAAACACATACTTTGCTATCTGAGGTCACTGATACCAGGTCAGGTCACAGCGAGGTCAGGTCACCGGGGGTCACAATATGAATGTGTCGTGTGATACATGTTTTATGGTCCATTTTACATGACAAATGCGATTATGTGGGTTAGGCAGCCTTTGGGGCCAGCCTAGGTCACGTTTTTGTGAAGGTCAGGTCAAGGTCAGGTCAAATTAGGTCAAATTTCAAAGTTGATATTTTTGCATAAAATGGGTATCGATTCGATGAAGCTCGTCACGGGGAGTCTAATGGTGGTCTTCGTTTTGCTCTACGAGTTCTAGAAATGCCAAAAATTGAGTTTGAAAATTTGACGTCATCATTTTTGAACAGTTTTTTCGCTATAACTTGGCCAAAAAACAAGGTATCGATCTGAAATTTGGTATGTAGATAGAAGACGGTAAGCACTATCACATATATTCCGGTTTTTTTTCGAAACTCAAAAAACTTTTTGGATTTTTTGGCGAATATATAAAAAAATGCTTTTTTGATTTTTGGGGGTCAAAACTCAAAAATTTCAAAAATTCGAGATAGCAGTTTTGTAGCCCTGTCAATTCTACACCTTTTATGTCTTGATCATTTTTCTGTATCTTCAAAGCTGTAGTCCTGACAGGTCTTCTCGCGAAGGTCTTTTTTCGGTCGAAAATGACAGAACATGTTGTCACTCTGACGTCATTTGTGGCCAACCTATCATAGCCTCTGGAAAAATTTTTGGTCACAATGTGTAAAATTGATGCCCGGAGGGGTCCTGAAAGTTTGGTGGCGATATCTCCAGCCGTTTAGGAGCTATCGACCGAAAAGGACAGGGGGGGCCGTTTCGGCCCCCCCCCCTACGGGGCGCGGGCTAAAGGTAGTGTGCCACCTTCCAATGATTTCTCATTTTATTTTTCCTAGGATAAGAAGCCTCTGTTTTTACCTAATATCGTTAAAAAAATCAAAAATGGGCCTAAAATAGTGCTTTTTTCGCCTAAAAGTTTATCGGTTTTTCGATATGTATAACAACTGTAGTGGGCTGACCTGCAAACAGGCGTCGGCAACAATCGCGAATGCGGCGCACATGTGACAATAAGCAAAGGTCATTATAGAGTTACGACGTACGGGAATGAGTTATCAGCTGTCTAATCGTAGACAACACAATGTCGAATTTAAACTGTAAGCCTGTATTGGTATTGTTTCTTTAATTTGGCTGTCGAACATTAATTTATGGTTTGAAATATTATTTTATGTAAAATAACTGATATGAAACAGCCGTCTCTAAAGTTATGACCCCATCTCACCACATGAAAGTGGCAGAAATGACAATGATCAGCTGACGCATTTTTCTTGGCCGAAGTCAGAGCGCGCGGCCCGACGCACCACCACCGCACCACAAAGTATGAGCAGAAGCCGCGCCCAAAGCCAGGACCCCGGTAACGTGAGGTAGCCGAGTCGGGGCAGCGTGCGCTGACCCAAGCCGGGGCCGCGGCTTTGGGCGCGGTCTACCGCATCCCCGCGGGCAGCCCCGGGCTATCACATGACACCGGGAGGACGCGCGGCCCCGGCCTGGGTCAGCGCACGCTGCCCCGACTCGGCTACCTCACGTTACCGGGGCCCTGGCTTTGGGCGCGGTCTACCGCACCACCTATCAGGCGTGTTCGAAACCGCAGCAGATGATGATGAACGGGTTTATCGAAACTTGATTGGATGAGCCTATCGGTAATAGCGATTTCAGTGTGTGCATTTATTGTTCATAGTGGTGTGGAATGTGGTTGGGGTACGACCGACAACCCGTCGGGGCGAATTTCGCACTGGGGTACTCAAAATTTGAAGAATTTAAGACGTTTCCATGAGTTTTGAAGGTATGGATAAGTTCTAAAAATCTGGTTCTCCTTATCTGGGCCATTAACTCCATACGGTCCAGGAAAGCTGGCACACTACCTTTAACTCAGATCACAATTTGTTTTCACCTGGGTTCAGGGTTTGGTGTTAAATTTTTTCAAATACACAAACATAAACAAACTGTTCACGAACAAATGCGTTTGCGAACAAGTGACGTCATTGGTCAAATTTTGGTAAACAAATAACGAACGTCAGTTCGCGGACGTTCATGAACTGTTCGCGAACACGGTAAAGAGGGGGTAGATAAGACCCCTTCCTTAGCCATTTCGCTCCTAATTGAGATAGAACCTTGCGGAAAAAGCCAGCGTCTGCGTCATTACGAACCACAGCGATTGGTATCCGATTTCAAGGTCTTTCACCAACCGGTGACCGCTGAGGTCAGGTCAAATGTCATAAAGTAGGAGGTTGGTTTTTGATAAATAACTTCGCCACAAATGGTAGCAGAGCCGCGATTGTGGCACAATCGTGCTCGTCGTGGCCAGGTGCGTCGAATGACACACTTTTTGTTTAGATTAGGTCTTTTTAGGATGTTGACCTCAGGTCAAGGTCAGGTCAAAGTCATTCGGGTCACAAAGCTGCATTGAGGATGTCACACTACATATCATTCGATGTGGCAGTTCTTTCTGAGTCAATTGATGGCTCAACCGACTCTCTCTCTCTCTCTCTCTCTCTCTCTCTCTCTCTCTCTCTCTCTCTCTCTCTCTCTCTCTCTCTCTCTCTCTCTCTCTCTCTCTCTCTCTCTCTCTCTCTCTCTCTCTCTCTCTCTCTCTCTCTCTCTTTCTCTCTCTCTCTCTTTCTTTCTTTCTTTCTTTCTTTTTCTACTTGTCTCTCTCTTCTCTTTTCTTCTTCTTATTTTCTTCTGCTTGTTCTTCTTCTTCTTCTGCTTCTTCTTCTTCTTCTTCTTCTTCTTCTTCCTCCCCTCCTTGGCATTTCCAGCTGCTCGTCGCTACCACTCAATTCCCACTCTCGTTGCGAGTCGTTACTACGAGTCTGATTTCTTTACCCACAGTCATCAGCACGGCACCTCCCATTCGCCCCTCTGGCATCCCATGGGGCGCCGTTTATGCTCCTCGTATGTGCAGCTCCGAATCATGCCTACCTTGAGCACACCCCAGATCACCTGCAGCGCGACGGCACCGCTGCAGCGGCGTCGGCGGCAGCTGAGGCTCGCGGCTCGCGCGCGCCTCCGTCGGCGCCGACGAGGACCGACGGAACGCGCGGCGGCCGCCCGCCAGTCGGTCGGTCTCCCGCACCGCCGCCGCCGCCGCCGCCACCGCCGCAGCCACTGCCGCTGTCTGTTTAGCAGCGGCTGCGAGAGACCCATGAGCGAGTGACACGGGCTTCCCGGCGCACTATGGGTGAGTGGTGAACGGGGCACAGTGAACCAGACACAGTGGTTCGTGCACATTGTAAATGGGCCTCGAGTGAATGCACCGAATAGTGTACAAATGAGTGTCGGATTTTACGCTGAGCTGAACACTAAGATGCTTTGCTAATATATTCTTGCATGGCCCCCTAATTGGAACAAAATCTCATGTTTCTCGAAGTTTCGAATTGATACTGTCAATGCTCTATCGGATTCTTCATTTTTTTAGGCCTACACGGTACCAAAGAAAATGAAATACTGAAGAGTATCGTCTCTCGTCCTCTAGCTCATATAACATAATGTTTAATGTTGCAAAGCGTTCCAAAATTAAAATTAAAATGGATGCATTCCCGACATAGTCTTTCATCGGTTGAAAATGCAAACTATGGAATAGTAGTCACTGTCATAAGGTAATAGATGCAATGCACCTCGATTATCAGCTTATTAATTGACAGGCAGAAGGATGTAAGTAGGGAAAGGCATATCTGTTCTCTGGTCCAGGTTTATCAGGCAAATGAATGTAACGAATTAAAATCGCTTTCGCTCGTATGCCCTCGCCCGTATTGGTGTTTTTCCAGCCGCGAAGGTATAAGGGGGGTCCGTTGGACCCCCCTTGCCGTTTCGCCCCTGATTGAGCTAGAGCTTCGCGGAAAAAACGAGCGTGTTGCCCGTGACGAGAGGAAGCCGATGCTACCCAATTTTAAGGTCCTAGGTCATCGGTTGACCTTCCAGGTCAGGTCATTGACCCAAAAGTCGGGAAAATCGGGACCTGTTAGAAAGTCGTAAAGCGTGGCTGCTATGGGGTTTTTCGGGGCGCTGATCGCGAATATCATGTTAGTTTTGAACACAGATGATGTCTTCATGCATTTAGGCCAGGTCGGGTCAGGTCAGGTCAGGTCAACCAGTAAGGGTATTCGTAGTAGGTGGCAAGTGCAACCGCCTCTGACAGCTTCGTAACATGTTACGAAGGCACCAAAACTACTTCGTAAATGTTTATATGGTTGCTAAATTCGAATTCAGCTCCAAAAACTGGCCTAGAAACATGTAAAACTCGAAAAAGTGAACCGAGGTTATAAAAGGTCAATGACCTGACCTGACCTTCTGGTGACCTTGACACCCACCCTAATGCATGGGAGCAACATCATATCCCATGTTTGAACGCTTAAAACCACGAAAAGCCTGCAAACGCGCCGCTAATGCGAGCCGAGGCCCGACATACGCCGAATCGCGATTCCGGCCAAACATGGTCTCGAAAAGTAGGTCACAGGTCAAAGGTCATTAGGGTCAGGGTCACGAAAATTTCAGGGTAGGTGTAAAATTGATTAACGCGAGGGTACTGAAAGTTTCGTCGCGATCGGCCGCTTTTTACGCGAGTTATTTGCGAAAAACCGAGGGGGGATCCGTTCGACCCCCCCCCCCCCTATAGGGCGAGGGTTAAGTCTTGAGATATGGTTTGATCTGTCCAGTTATTTTGAAAATAAACGTACTTCGTATTCTCTTTTATTTGGCCAGCACTAAATGCAGCATCGTTTAAATTCATGGGATGCTGGAACACGCCATTCACCCTCAAGTCGTTTTTCTAAAAGGGTAATCTCGTTCAAAGACACTTGTACACTGAGAAAAAAATTGACTCCATATGGGTCAAAACTCTTGAAAATGCTCCCCTGAAAACTCCTTAAAACCATTGATAATTCCCTTTCCAGCAGAGTTATTGAGTGTGTTCTAGGGTAACTTCGAGCCTTTCTCATTTTGCGAAAGAGTTTTCAAGAGTTCTTAATGGATGGCGAAATGACTCCATGTGTGACACCCCATAACTCTGTGATGCAACTCTCCATTGCTCCCGAAAAACTTTTCCCGAATGTTCCGACAGGAGTAAAAGGGGAGTTACGAAGGGGTTTTAGCATACGTCGCGAGGCTGCCGGTGGCCGCCATCTTTTGCGCGTAGTACACAGCACGTTGTGCGGGGCGGCGGGCGAGGTGTTAGTGAAGAGCGTGTTGACTTAGACGGACCTGACCTATACAGTGACGGATAATTGGACCTTACTTTGGATTTAAAGGTAAGCTTAGCTGTATTTCTCATCATGCTTTTATAGTGCAAAGTGTTATAATGTTGTGATGAGAACATGTGGTAACCCCATGTTCTGGATGGGCTGGAATGGTCTCTGTAAGGGTAATTGATTTGTTTTGTTCCTGAGTGAGATAAAGATCGGAAACAGCATGCTCTGAGTTTCTAGGTATTGGCAAATATCATACAATAAATTGGAAAGTTGGAATAAATTGGAAAGTTAGGATTACACAAGCTTCACACGTCATGGATCCTATTGTTATTGCCCAATTATTTTAATATCCATACCAATGAAAAATATCAAATTTGAAGGGCTTTCAAAGCAGAGCCAGAAAATTAAACTATCTTGGCATAAAAGCCTTGACTTTCCTAGCCCCTATATATTAAAAAAAAAAATCAGTTACCTACCACTGCCACTGCCCATGAATGATGAAAACCACCGACAAACCAGCATGTTCAAAATAAATTTTGTCTAAATTGTTGTATGTTTTTAGAAAGTGTCCATAATTGAATTTCGTTCTTTAATGTTAACATGGGTACCTACTACCTATGCAGCGTATAACGTCCTTAGCTTATTTTTAGCGACTGCTCAACTTTTTGAGCGTTCAAGTAGGTACGTTTTATAGCATTGCCCTACTGTGTCTGCAACTAAGATGGAGGCTGTTAATTTGCCCTTTAGACTTTCACTGAAACTTAACTTTATCGACATTGTAGTGCATAAAAAGTATGCTAACTTTGCAATCTCTTGCTTTCCTTATTTTGACATCATGTGCCGAAAGCAGTATCAGTGCCAACACGTCAGGTCGCGTGTGTCTCGTCTCGTCCATCTTGTCTCATCTGCCTACCTCTCAGTCTCCTCCCTCATTTCTTCCTTCCATCTTTCCCCGCTTCCTTCCTCACTCCCTCTTTCCCCTCCCCTCTCTCTCTCTCCCTCCCTTCCTTCCTTCCTTCCTTCCTTCCTTCCTTCCTCCATCCCTCCCCTCCTTCCCTCCCTTTCTCCTTCATTATTTCCCTCCTTCTCTTTTTTTCTTTCTCCTCCATTTCCTCCCACGCAATGTTAAGTGTACCTATAATTTCATGGTTATTAACATTTTGCAGGGGATGAGCTGGAGAGCCTGCAGCGCATCCCGCAAGACACGTCGGAAGCCAACGGAGACCAGCAAAATATCCATCCCACCATCGTGAAAGGAGAGCCGGACGAAGAAGACGCAGTATTCCTCGAGGCCCAGGAGGTGGTAGGGTAGCGGCACCACCAGACCAAGCATTCCAGCTTTGGTAGGCCGCCTTTTGGATTCTTAACATCAAAACTCGCGACCGTGAAGCATATGTATGGAGTGAGATCCCCGGAGAGCGTGCCGCGGCGGGATGTTGAAAGCGTTTGTCAATTTGTTAAGCCTCCCACCGCCCCGGACTATGAATACACATTTCTTGAAATATATTTTTTATCTGTGCTTCGGTACACGAGCTTTGGGTGGTTACGCTATTCGTCCAATATTTATTTTCGGGGGGGCTGGAGTGGAGTGATGGGAAGTTTGGGTGAGTTTGATGGGGAGTAACAAGAGGTTATACCATGAAGCTGTAAACGGAGTTTTGGGGAATAATGGAAAGGAGTAATCGGGAGTAATTATGAGGCAGTAGGAGAGTCATTGAGAGTAATGGAAGGGAGTTTCAGGGAGTATGTTGTTTGTTTTGATAGGGTAAAGGAGAGTAATGAAGAGTTTTCTAAAACGGTAGGGAGAGTTACAGAGAGTTTCTCGAGGGAAGTTTTGGGGTGTAATGGAGAGTTTTAGAGGGGGTGTAATGAGGAGTACCACCTGGGAGTTTTGGGGTGTCGTTTTGGTGAACTCCCCCTGGGGGTGTCATGCGGAGTCAGGATTTTTCTCAGTGTAAACAGACGGCGCCGTCATCCAGAAATATGTCACAGAGTCAAGATAAGTCGTGCTACGGATTTCTCAAGAGTAGACGTCCAGCGAAATAAGTATGCAGGCTCCCGTCATGCCATATGCTCTGCAATAGCTCCAATCTCTCACAAAGTCACAAATTGGCCAACTTGGTCGTGCAGTAATATCAGCACGGCGATGGCGGCTCAGTTCTGAAGCTGCTTACGGCACGTCAGTTTTGTGCCGGCCGTTGTCAGTCAGCACACATGTCGATAAACAAGTGGGCGGGCGGTGACGCCGCGAGCCGCCAACGCCGCCACCCCCGAGCCGTCGGCGATACAGCTCAGCATGCGCCACTGTGAGAGCGAACCGGGCTCCATTTGTATTTGTAGGTATGCACAACCACTTACACAGGGTTTCGTTAATATCGTATGGGGGAGGGGGGGGGGGCGTGGCGGATGCGGCAATGTTTTGATTGTCATGCATGATATGCAGACATGTCAAAATCTGAACGAAATTAACCCGCGCCCTGCTGGGGGGGGTGTTTGAACACCCCCCCCTTGTGGTTTTTCGCGAATATCTCAAAAACGGCGGCGCGAAGCGCCGCCGTTTTTGGTACACCTTATCACACATCAATTCTACACATGTTGTGAAAATTTCAGACCAAGGTCATTCAAGGTCAGGTCACCAGGTCACTTGAAGTGACCTCACCTCATAAAAAGTTTCAATGTCTGTCATAGCTATACCGAGTGACCGATCGCTTTGAAACTTTCAGCGATTGCTAAGAGCAATAGCATGTACAAAATGTATATCTCAAAATTTTGATATCGATGACCTAAGGTCAGGTCAATTTTGCGACCTCCCCATTATAAGTCAATGGGAGAAAATTGAAATGCGCCTCTTTTGGACGAAAGACATTATAAACAATCCCAAACACCGAATAACAAGTGGTTTAGACACACTGAACATGAAAATGGTGTCCGTGACCCCTGTTTATGCCCTGAGGTCATCTTAGGTCACGAATGGTATCTAACAGTTTTTCGCAAATAACTTTTGATAGAGGCATGCTAGAGCGATGAAAACGCCTTAGATGTGTTCAGCTCGACGATACGGATCGACTGATATGCAACATGACCATTTCCGGTCAGGTCATGACCTTGACCTGAGGTCAAATTTTCAAGTTGACCTTTCAAGGTCAAGTTATAGTTCATTCGATGCGTCTTGACGAGAGGAACACGATGCCGGTAAAAGTAAGCTCGTACAGGGCGTGGGTCAAAAGTTATTGCAGAAAAATTGTTTCCGAAAAAAATCGGCTATTTTTGCAGTTTTGGCCCCCTGCAGGCAAAACCGTTGACGTTAGGTCAAATCTGAGAGAATTACTCAGAAAGGGCGTTAATAGGGCTATCGAATGCGCTTTTCCGCGGCGCTGTAGCTCTATTGGTTCCCGAGTTATGCGTTGGCTTCTGGGAAATTTTCGACATTCGACCTGGAAATCGGCGAAATTTTGCCTTCAATGACCTCTGGTGACCTGACCTTTGACCTGACCAAAAAATTGACCGAAGTGATTTCGTCATTATTTTTGACGCTCTTTCGAACGCCGCCTTCTGCGTATCGCTACGTGGCCCAGGAGCCGAGTTACAAGGGGGGGGGTGTTCAAACACCCCCCCCCCCCCAGCAGGGCGTGGAAATCCAGGACCCCCAGCCGGGCGCGGGTTAACGTAAGCCATTGGCTGTTGTCCATTCACGACGCTATAATCTGGCTGACAGTTGACCTGTAACATTGGTGCACCCAAGCTCCCCCCCCCAAAAAAAAAATGAATCTAGTCTCCGATTAATTACACCAAGTCAATCAAATGAACTTGTGTGTGGTCGAACTGCTCGAGTCCTCTTGCCTATATGTGTCGGCAGCTCTGTGATTAACGTGTATAATGTATATGCCTATGTGTATATACCTACCTATGTTTTAAAATGTGTCTGTATGCCGGCAGCATTGTGTGAAGCGTGCGTTTGTGTGTCTGTGTGTCGGCAGCATTGTGTGAAGCTTGCGTTTGTGTGTCTGTGTGCCGGCAGCATTGTGTGAAGCGCGTGTTTGTGTGTCTGTGTGCCGGCAGCATTGTATGAAGCGTGCGTTTGTGTGTCTGTGTGCCGGCAGCACTCGCCAATGAGGAAGATATGGAGGCGTTCTTCAGTGACGTGGTGCGCTACCGACCGCAGGAGCTGAACCAGCTGGCCAGTGTGACAAAGTTCAGCCGCCGCGAGATTCAGCACATCTACAGGGGATTCAAACAGGTGCGCCACTCAGACCCCAGCCCGAATTGGAATATCCGTATACATAGACCTCTGTATACAGAGGTCTATGCCGTATAGGTTGCTCTCCTAATACTTGCGTGAATTTCTCCTGCACAGCGGAAATTCGTTCCGTAATTGCAGACTCATTCAAGGTCTTAGCAAATAAGGCATGTGATCAGAAACTGGTAGTGTCAGGTTTTATTCGTTTATCATATGTAGATGACTATACTGCGTTTCCTAATTGAGCGCTGTCTTTCATTGGGACAGCATACTTATGGAGGAGGCGATGTGCATTTGCACTTTATATTTACACTCATTCTCATCTGGTAAACCCAATTGGTAACAGAAAAAATCATGAACGGCTATTTGACACACATATTCTAACTTATTCTTCATATATGTATGTTTCATTTTGACAAATTGATACTCAACATAATTCCGTCAAATGCAAGTGAAAAGGTATAATTTAAAACGCTTGTGCTTTGTTGCAGGAATGTCCACTGGGAACAGTGGACGAAGACAGATTTAAACACCTTTTCTCCCAATTCTTTCCCTTTGGAGGTAAGACTGGTACGATACTCGTAAATTTAATACAGCATGGGCTACTTCAGGATTGGAATCAGATGATGCGTGGATAACAAAGGAGCAATTATTTAGCAACAAAATAGAGGACATGCGCCAAAAGTCAATGCCATCATATGGTAGACGTATACACTGAGAATATGTGAAAAAGAAACGATGCCGCCTGTTGTGCATGTCTCGTAAATTTCTCAAACTACGTCAGTTGGGCTTTGAGCTTCCGCATCCAACGGCGTCATTTCGGCTTGGGGCGGATGCCAGGAAGGACGTTTAATCTTCTGGAATGACACGGCACGAACCTTCAAAGGGTCGTCTTATCTCACCCTCAGCCCATCGAGGCATTTAGCAGTTACTCTGTTGACCGCAGTTAATCCCAGTGGGTGGGCTCGGAATCAAATTGCCCAGGTCAGCATCGCGTCCCACATTGCCGCATGCTACCTGTCTGATATTGCGTATATGTCCTCGTGCCTGATGGTATATCCTGTGCATGAAAAAACATACCAGAAGCCTGTTGTTCTTGAACGTATATGATGTTTCACTGTCTATTTATTTGCTCACTTTCTTTTCTCGTACTCATAGTTTTACTAACTATCGACATTATTTTCCATAATAATTACGTATACCTTTTCAAGATTCGACCAAAGTATTTATGACATTTTGCGTTCGTTTCAGATGCGACAAAGTACGCGCAGTTTGTTTTTGGGACATTCTGTCCGCCGGGAACGAACATCATCAACTTTGAGGTAAGCGCGTGGAGGCATACAGGTAATTTTGGGTTTCTTCGGGCCGTTATAGTGTTTGTCTATATGCGGATTGAGCGTTTATTCGTAACCAGAAACTAAAATGGTCCACATTCCGCACTTTCTGGTCTTTTCATTTACATTTACTTGTAAAGAGGTATAACAAGGATAATTTTCTAAACTGCAAATCGTTTCCTAAAACAACGTATCTTGCATGGGCCGAGTGTTTTTCTTCTGCAGCCAACTAGCTATAGGTAAGCTCTCTGGGGGCGCTGCTCAAACGATACTTATACTGAGACAGAGAGACACAGACTAAGGCTGGCTGATGCCACACTTATCTTCATTATTTTCAGTGGCTGAGGCGGCTCTGAGCTGCGAATAATGAAATCACACTGCTCGCGGTGCCGCTCGGCGCTCTGCTCGGGAAGTATGGGAGGGAGGCAGCAGCAATCCGCTCGCACGGCTGCTCGAGGCTAAGAAAAAATGGGGTAACATCATTTACGATGCCTTCGGAGGCTCCAGGGCCACCTGAGTCGCTAGGGGACACCTGGGTCGCGAGGGGACACCTGGGTCGCGCTCGGACCAGCCGGTCGCGGTGGGGCCGGGGTCGGATGGGACGGGAAGCTCCCAGCCGTCTCTCATCCCACTGAAATAGCGGCGAGTCCGGGGCATACGACGCGACAGGCTGGATGGGGCTGCATATCACACACCGCCGCAGGGCCGCTAAAATATATCGGACAGCTCTGGTGCTGCGAAATATTTATTAGCTCGTAATACGTTCTTAGATGCATTCATAACTTTTTATAAACTATTTTTCATTGTGCTTATTTTATTATTCTGTGTTCTTTGCCTTACTTTATCGCTCGCATATAAAAACAACAGCCTTTTTCCGTTCTCTCTCTCTCTCTCTCTCTCTCTCTCTCTCTCTCTCTCTCTCTCTCTCTCTCTCTCTCTCTCTCTCTCTCTCTCTCTCTCTCTCTCTCTCTCTCTCTCTCTCTCTCTCTCTCTCTCTCTCTCTCTCTCTCTTTCTCCTCTCCTTCTCTCTCTCTCTCTCTCCCATTCTCTCTCTCTCATTCTCTCTCTCTCTCTCTCTCTCTCTCTCTCTCTCTCTCTCTCTCTCTCTCTCTCTCTCTCTCTCTCCCCTCCCTCCCTCCCTCACATGCACCCGCTCGTCACCGCCAGGAGTTCCTATCGTCTCTCTCGCTGGTGGCGCGCGGCTCGTTGCATGACAAGATCGCGTGGATCTTCTCGCTGTACGACATCAACCACGACGGCTTCATCACCAAGCACGAGATGACAGAGGTGGTGAGCGCTATCTACGAGCTGCTCGGCCACGCCATCGAGCCCGTGCTCGACGCCGGCTCCGTGGAGAGACACGTCAATGCTGTGTTCGATGTGAGTACCCGCCGGATGGAGGTTGGCTTGGGCCGACCGACCGAGGGGGGGGGGGGGTCAGTGTGCTGGATCTGGGGGGGGGGGACCGTGGGGTGGGGTGGGAGAGGGCCAAGAGTATAGGGCTACGTAATTACGTATATAGAGAAAATGAAAAAGCGGGAATAAGATTTTAATCAACCGTTTTCACGATGATCTATCTGGCGAGTGGCGAATGCACCTAATTTGACCAAATCTGCACGAAAGCTTTTACAACAAATATCTTCATATCAAAAATTCATTTTCATAAATTGTTGTAGGTAAGTGTTTCATGAATTAATTTAATAAATTGGCAAGTGTTTTAATCGAAAATAATGTCTGAGAATTTGAAAAATGATGTCCACAAGAATATGTGCAATCCAAACTTACAACTTTTGAGAAACACAATTAATTTAATTGGACCAAATAAGCACACAATCTGCATCAAGTATGTACCAGATGATCGTCGTGAAAAGTGAAAACGGCTATTATTGTTAGCTCCAAAACATATTGGATGTTTCTGTGTCCTACATAGAAGACATGTGAGGGAAAATGTTTCTGTAATTCTCATTTTTCTTTTAAAAAAAAACACACACACACACATAATACGATAAGACATTAGTCAAACTTATGCTAAAAAAATCTAGCAGGTACCGACTAACAAAAACAAATATCCCTTATGTGCCATCTTTCTATAGTTCTACACATGATAAGTCATTTGAACCAAGCATTCGGGCAGGCACCAGGCAGGCAGCATTGGAGGTACTGACAACATCTGGCTATTGTTCCGAGTTCCGGCAAGCGAGCTGAAAGGGTGCCTGATAACCTGTAGATGGATACCACTAAAATAATATTATCGTACGTAGAGAAACGGACAAACGAGCCGTAATGATCAGTAACATCTCACAAATCAGCAGCAATTCTACGACGAGCATCGAACCAGATTCTGAGTACTGCCGAAGTGTCATAGCTGGCAGCGGGCCAGCGCCCCGGTCGCCGGGGGCGTCTCCTCACAGCGGGACAAGTGGTGCCATCCACACACAATGGTGACAGCGGCAGCCTGTTTACCAGCGCGTCCCAATGGCGCGGCAACAGCCGACGCCCTGAGCCATGGTCTGTTTGATTACCCATTCGAGGAGGGTAGCCGAGAAAATGGTACCGCGCACAACAATGGTGCGTCACGAAGATTCCCGTGGCCCGACTGTATCCTATCCATACTTTTGGACAGGGCGAAGTGTGACACGGGTCCTGAGTGCACTCGTCAATCGTCATTCTACAAAACACATGTTTTGATTAGCGACAGTAACTACTATCAATACGATCGGCATTCATCATGTTCATATTCTTTACTTTGTGAATCCATCCATACCTGTCATGTACAAAAATGAATGAAAGCTCACCATAATACATAGCTGCTTCTTTTTTAGTATCATGCATTCAACAACGAAATGATAGCGTTTTTCTTGTGAGCTTCTGGTGAATTAAAATAAACATTTTCACCAAGGAGTTTCGCACACGCACTTTCGAGGCCGAAGATGAAGTACATTTTCCATTTTCTATCTCATAATGCCGTAGTCCCAGTTGAGCGATGGGGGACGACCTAGGGCCGTGACGATGTCGATGACCTACTTACGGTCTATTCTGCAGGAACGCCCACCATTTTTCACCCCGGAAGCCCATCACTCGCGGAAGATTGTACTTTTTGCGCTGGTTTCGCACACCGCCTCACGCATTGAAAACCAGAAGGCACGTGCGATATTTAACGTCAATGGCCGGTGGCTGTCAGTTGAAGGAGATAACACCAGTTTTGGGGACGCACATTTTTCACCAGACATTGATTACTGAACTGAAAGTAACACTGGCTAGCTTTATAAATACTTGCAACCTCTCATGCTAACTTATTCTAATACCGTTCCCAAACCACCACTCCGCTCATGCTCAACCTGGAAAGAGTCGTCTGTAAGAAGTTCAAAGCCTTTCACTAGGAGCTCGGTTGACATTTCTACAAAATTAATGGCTGATCTGTACGCAATCGGCAATAGGCTATGCGTTGCTACTCCTTTCCGACAGGCCCTAAGCCGGCGAAAATCGGCTGTTCCACGCATGTAAATGAGAGACAGACTGGCGCGGCGGCGAGCTCCGATATTTTGCTGTGGCTCGCCGCCGTCCGTTGGCCGTATTGACAGTCAAATCGCTGCGTTCTTTATGACGCAGAAGCGCCGATATATTTTGGGTCCCAGTCGAGCTGAGATTGCTTGGCCGCCGCACGCGCTCCAACGATAAAACAAGGCTCCCCCGCCAAAAACCGAATTGAAGGTGACAACCGCGAAATCGACATATCAAATGTCATTTATCGACGAAATAAAATATGTCCCTTAGCATCTTTTTATGTTGTGGAGTGAAGTGCAATGTGTATGTTGGCACTGATAACCATATCGATTATTTCGCTCATCTTGTATGCCGCTCCGCAAAACGTTCTAGAAGCCCCATGTTCCTCAAATATCACGTATAAATCAATTTTGTTTAATTATTTGCCTCGAGACCATTTAGACTTATTTATGTATGTATGCTACCCGGGAAGGTTCACTTTGTAGAAAGTGAAATACTGATAAACTTCTTAAAACCTCGTGATCCAACCTTGTAAATCATAAAAACGATTATGATTATTCCACAAGATTATAGACCTCTGTAAAAGAAACCTATGATAACACATTTGATAGAGCCTTGCTGTTTGATAGGTCAAAATTTTCATTGAAATCATAAACGGAAAAAAACATAAACGACCTATCAGCTATCCAACAATGATTTAGCAGTTAATTATTGAAAGTAATAGCCCCCCTCCCCTCGTCTCAACTCTGGTGTCTGTGGGCCGTTTCACTGATACCCAGGTTTGACGTTGGTTACGTCTTCGAACCGCTACCGACAGGACGCATTTAGGGATCGCATATGTTCATGTGGGCGGTGCGGTGAATAATGTAGGCCCACTTGGGTAAATGGTGCTGCATTATTTATGCGTTCCCCTCCGGTTCCCTTCGGTGTCGGCAGCTGATCGACACCAACGGCGATGGCGTCATCACACTGGACGAGATGGAGCGGTGGTGCACCAGGGACGAAGGTCAGTACCTGAATGTAGTCTCATTCATAGCAACCCTAAAATAACACACGATTCACACCAATAATTTCTATATCTAATTCACTCAGATGCACAACGCTTCCAACTGGCTTCTTGGCAGGCTACACACATGTCGGATCATAGGTAATAATTCAATGTCATACGACCGCCTGCCCTGTTCCAAATGACTACTGTTGACCAAATGTGCCGAAAGCGGTGTAGTCGGGGCTAACTTTATCGTTGCGTGCCAGCACCGTATCAAATCGAAAAGTCCTGGCACCGCCGGCACATGACCGTTGTGAGAACGAACGGATTCACTTGTGGCTGGTGGCATGGTTATGAAAAGATTGAGGAAATATTCGTCGCCAATTTCATGACGAATTTCATTCAATTCATTTTTTAGGAATTTATTATGAACTGCGTAATAACGAAATGTATACCTATGCCTACATTTCGTCTGGTAGGTGCAAGACGAGTCCGATATTGATAGCTAGCTATTTACTGTTAAATAACATAGCGCAAAATCATTTAACATTATTTCAATATTTCAATTGAACATCGAACAGGCCTTGGTTCACTTAAATGCGTGCACATATGACGTCTCATTACGTAAATAGACTGGCTATCAAACTATTCAATCCAACAGCGAACCATACTTGATAGCGTCCAATGGAGCGTCCGGGCTCAATTCTGCCTCTGAGCAGAATTAAGGATTTTTCGGACGATTGGTATCATCAGGCAAAGAAGTACGCGTGCATGGGATGAAAATGACACTGACGAGCCGTTCACTTTTCACCGGATAGCCACCAATGAAACCCGGCCGCGAATTAGGAAACCGTCATAACGTTAAATACGTCTTCGATAATGCTCAATTTCTCACTGGGCTGAGCTGCCAAATATATCGACTATCCGCTTCAATAGCTTTTAGTCAGCGTGTTGTTTTATAAGACCAGCTTTTTGGGAACCTGCATCGGACGATAAATCGAGTTCGAGGCGTGCCAAGCATTCTAAGTTCACTTGAAAACGATTTAAATCGACAGGTGAACAGGATGCGTGGAGGCGTAGGTAGTTGGAAGACCGATTTTAGCTCAGTCGCCGAAGAAGGCGCAACTTAGTTGTTCCCTGTGCTTCACAAAATGCAAAACTGTGTCTGGAAGTTAAGCAACAAACCTCAACAATGTCGTGCCTATGTAAACATCACACCAAAAACTCACCGTTATAATAGCATTTTTCGTTTTCATTCCCTTCAGGTGGAGAACACTGCGAACCAAAGGCCGTCAGCCGTCAAGAATGGCCATGAAAACATTCAATTTCTCGCTTGGCTGACGTGTTAGATACATAAGAATACCCTTTATACATAAATACCTTTATATAAAAAAGTATTAGTAACTTCCACAGATTGACGGGGCCCAAAGTTCGTCCTACCTGGAATTTTTATGTTCAGGGGTATGTACTTACGACTCCCATTTCCCATCTACAGGCAATACAAAGTCGCTCGACATGCTGAACACGGTCTGGTGAGCTCGGTGAGGTTACTGGGACGGAGTCCGTCTCACCCGCGGACCGGGGCGGACGGTCTAGTGAGCTCGGCGAGCGCCGCGCCGGCGCACCTGCCGGGACGCAGTCCGTCTCACCCTCGGACTGAGACGGCAGCAATCGAACCTGACCCTTCCCAGCCGGCTGCTCCTGCCTGCACAGAGCGGCACCGAAGGCTTGTGTCGACCCCGCCCGCCCGCCCCGCCTCAGCCGTGGCCGACAGCCTGCCCACCACCCCGGCCCGCAAGGTCGGAGCCAGCGCGAGGCTCAAACATAGTGATACGATACAATCCGCGGAACCTGTCCCAACAACTGTGCAATAACTCATCGAGGTTTCGGCCACTGTAGGGAAGGGTTTCAAACGAGCAATTTGAAATAAGATACAAGTGTAACTTGTAAGCCATTCCAAAGCAAAACACCGTAGCGTCTGTTATGTAGCCATGTGTTGAATTGGCGTCGTGAGGTTTTTGAGAAACGTTTGTTCGTACCTATATGTTTGTTTATGTCATCTGGAAACAACTAACACTACCTAACGACATAAATGGCATGAGCGAACGAAAACGATACATTGATATCGGCACATGGTTTGTTTGAAATGCCCAGAAACTATAGGTATAGTAAACATTGATGATTGGATGTACTTGAATTATGAGGTGCAAACTGAATTCCAGTGTAAAATCTTCTTTTCTAAAAGGCACGACCCCGCGCGTGAATTTTTTCTTCGCCTTTTCCGGAAGAATGAGTGAGGAGCCGATTTAGCATTTTCCCGTAGTCTGTGCCAAATTTCGCATCACACCGTGAAATTGTTGCCATAATCTGTAACAAACGGCGGGTGCGAGAGATGGAACTAAATTTGTCTATTTTCCCATTCAGTGTTGTGTCGCCTCGCAGAGGCTTCTTCACCTATAGTTCTGATCGGTGTTCCGGCCGCCGACTGTGTGTGTTTTCAGCTCAGTAGGTCTGTAGTGTAATACCGGGCCAACTCGGTAAATTCAGAGTCGTGGGGCCTCTCTGATTGTCGTTGCTGAGGGCTTCTCTCGCTTAGTTAGCACACGTTTTTGTAAATACCTTCCTAAATGAGCGCACTGCTTTTCTCATGATGCTGCGTACCTTTCATAAGTACGTACCTTTCCGAGACATCTGTTGCCGATAGCCTTTCCCGCTAAATGTGTTTGCTGAGGCGATACGAAGTAGCTAGAATAATTGGTTTAAGTGCACAGAGATGGTGTGCTGATGTGGGTCGAAGCCCAAACTCGATAGGTTGCGAGCAGGAGACACCTAGTGCTGAATGTGTCTCACACGAACTCCTGATCGGGGTATACATCTTGTATTGTATGACACCAGTATGGCCAAAGATGCTGCATCACACAACAGCGATTTCCTTATTATGTGTTGTGGTCAAGATTGCCGTACAAATTAAACTTAATGGGATAATCATACGCATACTCCTCCATTGAGCCTTGAATTATTCAGTTAGCGTGTAGCTTCGATCGTTAAAATGTCAGGCAGAGAAGAGGCACATTAGACGGAAATGATCATCTTCAAGCTTTCCCAGATACCTTTATATATTTAGGTGTTGTTGAACGCTTGTGTGTAAATACATTCAATATTCGTTTCGGTTGTTTAAAGTCACGTGGTCAGCGCTGCACCCCCTCCCACGAGCGTCACCAGTCGAAATTCACCACCGTTCACCAGCGGCCCTCGGCTCGGGTGGACGTCACCGGTGTGCACCAGCCCCCGGAGCGGAACCAGTGGGCTCCAGCGCTCCCCGACACTCCCCCGAGCTGTATATACAGAGGGCGGGTGTGGACTGTGGGTGTGCATCTTACGGGTGGCGATCGGCTGAGCTGACCCAATTAGGTCCGAACAGCAGTCGCGCAGGACGACAGCGGACACAAGGGGCGCCTGAACTACGGGAGGTACTGCTCCTGATCGCGGCGGGACAGGCATTGACCAGCGACCTACTGATACCTGCTGACGACTGATCTCCATTACAGTATAGAGATCACTGATCACTACCGACCACTTCTCTAGACCTGGAATGCGGCATTCAACAAGGACTAAATATAGTAGTTCACACAAGAAATTAATCGGTGTTGATGTATTGCGAGCATGCCATAGCACATAACATGGAAGAAAGGCGGGCATAAGGCTATTTGATTCGGAATGCAATAAATTTCACCATTTAGTTATAAAGTTTCGCACTTACGAGCAAAGGCACTAATCGACACTTGAAATAACCTGATCAATCTTCAGACGATCCAGGGGCGCGCAGAATGGCATAACAATGCCATCGTTTATCAAAACGTAGCTCAACAAGGAACTCGTTGAGAACAGAGAGCCATCACCGTGCCACCGATCACCTCTGCAGGCACCAGCACCTGCACCTGCACCAACACCAGCACCAACACCACCACACCGGCACCACAGTGGTCCCACAGCGGTCCTACAACGGCGCCATACCGGCCCTGACCCGTCTCCAAGACAGAAACGCACGCAACACTGCGTTCAGTAATACGAATGACAATCGATCAGACGGCGAGACACGGCATTCAGACTACCACAAGGGCTATGAATCAACTTACAGTTCATCCGTAAAATGAACCAGGCCGGCTCATCTGGCAAACATAGGCTATCATTTGACAGAGATAAATCAGTGTGTTTAACAAACGACACTTCTCTGGCCAACGTCAAGATGTAGCATGATCCCGATAAAAATCACAGTTTGTTCGTTAATTATAAAAATATCATCAGGTGTTCTTCATCAGTAAACATGCAGGACAATATCGTTCTGCCGAGTACCATAGGCGCCCTGCTGGGTAACTGAGCGGGGGTCATTCTCACTGGGGCGGCGTCGGCTTCGGTCCGACCCCTCCCGCGTACCGATACAGAACCTCGGCCACCTGATAGGCCAGCTGGTCGGCGGCGGTCCGCGTCTCGGCCTCTGCGTACACCCGCACCACGTCCTCGGTGCCGGACGGCCTGCCGGTCACGGTCAACGCAGGTCAGTGGCGGTCAGTGGGAGTCAAAGGAGGTCAATGAGGGTCACAGTGGGGTCACATGGGGTCAGCGGGGGTCATAGGGGATCAGTGGTGGTTACATGGGGTCACAGGGGTCAGTGGGGGAGGGAGGGGGGGGGGTACTGGGTCATTGGCGGACATCACAGGGTCAGAAAGGGGTCACAGGACAATCTGAGAGGTCACAGGGGGTCAGTGGCGGTCACAGGAGGGCCAGGCCTGGTCTTATTGCAGCATCCACTTTATTCCAGCTCGCCGGCAGTAAATCGCATGGCTATGACGCGAAATGTGGACATCCACGCTGTGATTCCATTAGCCGAACGGCAGAGGGAAAATGTCACCCTACAAAGTCGGCCGTCACATGAAACTGTCACCGCTGAGCATCGGAGATCCATCGATCCGCAGTTAATCGGGGCAAGTGCTCGGCTCGGCTCTATGGCCCGCTGTAAGAACGCTACTCTCCGTAAGAGGCCGGCCGGTCGGCCGCGGCGGGAGGGCGGGCCGAGCGGCCCCGCTCGCCGTACCGCCGCAGGCGCCCGGCCGAGGTCCGGAGGTGGCCCGTCGGGAGCCTGATGGCGTCGACCGGTCACCGACCGCTGTCCCCTGCTCCCCGGCCGGCGCCGGCCGCATACGGAGCGGCCCACACGGCGCGCCGTAACGGCACTGGACGCCCACACGGCGCCGTAACGACACTGGACAGCGTACAACTGTGCCCCCGGGGCGGACTAGCGACTGTGCCCCCGGGGCAAGCTAGCCACTCTGTCCCTCCGTCCCTCTGCTACATGAGCACCACGCTGGACGGAGGGTAGAGGACATAAGAGACTAGCCGCCAGGACAAAGCGGAGCCTCCTGTCGCCCACTGACGACTGAACCACCGTCGAAAAGGGTCGCTGATGTTTCTTGCTCTGGAGGCGAAGGTGTGACTTGAAACGCCAGACGCGCGCGGCGATTTCCCCTCCTCTTACATCACTGGCCTTTGGGTGGTAGCACGGACGAATTAGCGGACAAGTCCGGTCACCCCCTGGTGGCTCAGACTGCACTTAGCTCAATGTGCTGCAGCGCGTTCTGCTGATTGATACATTACCGTCAGGAGCAGTGGGAGGGGCGTATAATGAACGCGAGAAAAAATGACAGAACGGGAAGAAAAAAACAAACAAATGTCACAAGGTCAGGAAAAGAGACAGACGGGGCTTGCCGAGAAGTGCCTAACGCCGATGTATGTACTCGTACAATTTTCTTTCTTTTCACCCTCTCCAGATTAGCAGTATCGCAGCGCACTCTTTGGAGCCGTGTTCGATTCGATACACTCTGGAAGCGGCCGTAAAAGCTGGCCGGTGGCACAATCGCTGTGTGGCGCGGCTCGTCCGAACGCTGTCCGGCCATCAACCAGACAATGGCGGCCTCCTGGGGAAAAACACGGCGCGCTCCGCCGCTTATTTATAGGCGCCCAGCACTATACGACCGGCCACTTTCTCTCAGCAGCAAAGTAAAAGGTTAGTCAGCCCCGGTTACGGCCGAAATGAGAGCGAAAACGGGGCGAAGTATAGAGATATGCAGGCAGGCTCAAAGGTATGGGAATATGGAAGAGATTGAGAGCAAGGAGAATAGAGGGGAGGGAAGAAAGGAAGGAGAAGAGGAGGTAGAGTTGAGGAGAGGAAAAGAAAATGAATGAAGGAAGACAGAGCTTATTGATATTAAGACAAAAACCTGGTAGGTAACGCGCCAGCTTCTCCGAACTTAACGCCGCCAGAAGTCGAGCGCTGTTCAGACAAAAATAAAATATAACTGATGGCGGCGGCACACCAAAGAGCACCAATAGCCATCAGAGTGCGATCATCATCACGCCATCTGTCCTCAGATCACACAGACACCAGCGTGACCTCCGTCCTCTCGGCGAGACATCGGTTTGGGAGTGCGGTCCGACCCAGGGCACTGAAACCATCTAACCAGACCGAAATATCCGGGACCTGCGCGCATCTGACGTCATACGGCAACGTCGCTCGGCTTTAATCGCCGCGACATGCCGCCCACATCTGGCAGTGACACGCCGACAAACAAACCTTAAAGGCAAACGCCTAACAAGCTGCCAACTCGGTGGCAGCCAAAACAAGCCGGCTACCTCATCAAGGGCGAGCACGAGCCACGGGGACCGCTGCGCACGGCTGGCGGGCGCGGCGGGCCGGTGGGTAGGTACTGCACTGCCGAGAACCAGATATTATCTTACACATTAACTGGAGGGGTCAGTCACTACGTTTCCATAACGTCTAAATCGATTTAGCGAAATTTCACGAGCGTTTTTCTCGGATACTATTTAATATTTATCTTATGCAAAAAAATGAGCGTAGGTATATATGGCTTTTAGCTAGCACCTAATCCTATCTTTACATTTTTAAATGACGCTAAATGCTATGATGGAGCAAATCTATTTTGCAAAATCGGCTTAACTTGTGCCAACTGCCATGGAAACGTAGCCAATTTGGCAGCAGTTGTCAGGGGCGGTTGAGAGGACGGTCGTACTCACCGAACGAAAGCTCTTCCCTGCGGCTGTTTGCTGACCAGCGTGTCAATTTCGGCCTGCAGTCCATCAGGCGTCACGCAGCGGCGCTCAGCGTCCGTAGTAGTCACTACCGTACGGTCCTGTAGAACACACACACAGGTCACCACCGTACGGTCCTGTAGAACATACACACAGGTTACCACCGTACGGTCCTGTAGAACACACACACAGGTTACCACCGTACGGTCCTGTAGAACACACACACAGGTTACCACCGTACGGTCCTGTAGAACAATACACACAGGTCACCACCGTACGGTCCTGTAGGACATACACACAGGTCACCACCGTACGGTCCTGTAGGACATACACACAGGTCACCACCGTACGGTCCTGTAGGACATACACACAGGTCACCACCGTACGGTCCTGTAAAACATACACACAGGTCACCACCGTACGGTCCTGTAAAACATACACACAGGTCACCACCGTACGGTCCTGTAGAACATACACACAGGTCACCACCGTACGGTCCTGTAGAACATACACACAGCCCACAGGTCACCACCGTACGGTCCTGCAGAACATACACACAGGTCACCACCGTACGGTCCTGTAGAACATACACACAGGTCACCACCGTACGGTCCTGTAGAACATACACACAGCCCACAGGTCACCACCGTACGGTCCTGCAGAACATACACACAGGTCACCACCGTACGGTCCTGTAGAACATACACACAGGTCACCACCGTACGGCCCTGTAGAACATACACACAGCCCACAGGTCACCACCGTACGGTCCTGTAGAACATACACACAGGTCACCACCGTACGGTCCTGTAGAACATACACACAGCCCACAGGTCACCACCGTACCGTCCTGCAGAACATACACACAGGTCACCACCGTACGGTCCTGTAGAACATACACATTACACACAGGTCACCACCGTACGGTCCTGTAGAACATACACACAGGTCACCACCGTACGGTCCTGTAGGACATACACACAGGTCACCACCGTACGGTCCTGTAGAACACACACACAGGTTACCACCGTACGGTCCTGTAGAACAATACACACAGGTCACCACCGTACGGTCCTGTAGGACATACACACAGGTCACCACCGTACGGTCCTGTAAAACATACACACAGGTCACCACCGTACGGTCCTGTAAAACATACACACAGGTCACCACCGTACGGTCCTGTAGAACATACACACAGGTCACCACCGTACGGTCCTGTAGAACATACACACAGCCCACAGGTCACCACCGTACGGTCCTGCAGAACATACACACAGGTCACCACCGTACGGTCCTGTAGAACATACACACAGGTCACCACCGTACGGTCCTGTAAAACATACACACAGCCCACAGGTCACCACCGTACCGTCCTGCAGAACATACACACAGGTCACCACCGTACGGTCCTGTAGAACATACACACAGGTCAACACCGTACGATCTTGTAGAACATACACACAGGTCACCACCGTACGGTCCTGTACGACATACACACAGGTCACCACCGTACGGTCCTGTAAAACATACACACAGGTCACCACCGTACGGTCCTGTAGAACATACACACAGGTCACCACCGTACGGTCCTGTAGAACATACACACAGGTCACCACCGTACGGTCCTGTAAAACATACACACAGCCCACAGGTCACCACCGTACGGTCCTGCAGAACATACACACAGGTCACCACCGTACGGTCCTGTAGAACATACACACAGGTCACCACCGTACGGTCCTGTAAAACATACACACAGCCCACAGGTCACCACCGTACCGTCCTGCAGAACATACACACAGGTCACCACCGTACGGTCCTGTAGAACATACACATTACACACAGGTCACCACCGTACGGTCCTGTAAAACATACACACAGGTCACCACCGTACGGTCTTGTAGGACATACACACAGGTCACCACCGTACGGTCCTGTAGAACATACACATTACACAAGTCATATATAGTCCTGCGAAACACACCCACAAGTCACACACTTCCTACTCATTACACAGTCACCACCGTACAGACTTCTGAAACATACACACACGTTACATAGACGGTCACTCCCCCATGGTTCTGTAGAACGCACACTCTCACTCCTTTCCAATGCTATGGCACACCGACAAAACACACAGCCACCAACGCGTTGGTGACGGACGTTGCAACGTTCGCCACCAACGCGTTGGTGACGGACATTGCAACGTTCGTCATTGGGGCACTGAGACAGTCAATGTCCTGTCAAGGCTCTCCTGTCACCATTTGGGGCACTGAGGCAGTCAGTCATCCATCACCAGATAACATCGTGTGATCATCACCGCCATCACGATCGGTGACAGGTCAATGACAGGTCAGTGACGGCTGGTGACGGTTCTGTCCCAGTGCATGCAGGGCGACATCCGTCAACTCCGGCTTGCCACTGCGCCCGTCTGAGGCTAGCAGAAACCGGCAACGACTACGGTGCCACCCTGGGACCCCCACGGCCAATTTCAGGACAGAACAGCCGCAATTAGAGGACGGCGGGCAAAATTGGCCAACTTGGGCCGTGCAGTCGATCACCGGTGCCGTTTCCGACTCGGTAAAACGCTATCTTTTAAGTTGACTTGAAACTATCGCCATGGGTGATCTATTACCAAAGTTATTCAATAGCGGCAGTCATATTTTGAGCAAAGTTGCAATCAGGCTCGAGCGCTGATAGCAGAATACCACTGATATGTCTTATACTATCTGTGAAGAATGTGAATCGTGTAATCCGGCGAATCCCATCCGTACGACATCTAGTTTTAATGAAACATTATTTCTGTAAAACAGCAGGCAAACGGTGGTTTGTTTCTCCCTTGAAAAGCAGCAGGTTTAAAGGTAGACTGCCACCTTTTTTCCACAAAACGGTTTTCACTAGAGCTGAGCCACCTATGTTCCAGACTGAAGTCGGTTTTCCGAAATTCGAACCCGTTTGCGAGAAATCGGAGACCAAAGTTCAGTTTGATGCCATTTTTTTAGTCCAAGAAAACCGACATCTCTACTGTTTATCGATAACTTTGAAACATGAATTTTCTTATCTTTTGGTAAATATATGTCAAAACTTTGATTGTTTTGAGATCAGAGAAGAATTTTGGAGTGTCAAAATAAAAGTTAAACCTATATATTCAGTAGTTCATTTTTTCCAAAAAAGTGTGGGAAATGGGGTTTAACATGGGCCAGACCCAAAATTCCAAATGAGCCATGATTTTTAAATGTTTTACGAACTTAAATGCAAAATAAATTAAACATGGCCAATTTCTTATGAAATCATATATTAGTAAATCATAAAATACCTTACGTTTTCAAATAAAATGTAATAATCTTATGACCTTGAAGTCTAGTGATGTGTAAACATTGTCGCTAGACATTAACCGATTGATAATTGTATGATAATCGACAATTTTTTTTCGCGATTCACGTGATGATACTTTGTCAGGTGAATTATAAAATTTTGTTTTGTCCAGGGAATAAATCATAGGCCGATCTGAGAAAACTTTTTGAAGGTGGCAGTCTTCCTTTAACTGCAGTGAAAATCATTGCAGCATCCCCCTGATTGGAGAAGATCAAAGGCCGACGGCTCTCGACCGCTGCGCAAACAGCCCTGTCGAGTGGCGGTCGCTGGCCGCGGGCGGCCGCTGCTCCGATTGGAACCGGACCTCGGGGAGGCGTCCATTGTCGCCACAGGTCAGCGCCGTCACCGGCGGCCGTACCAGTGGGCCCGGGCGACAGGGCGGCCCGACCGCGAGTTTCCCAAGTATAGAACTACCCAGCGCCGTCACCGGCGGCCGCTCCAGTGGGCCCGGCGACAGGGCGGCCCAACCGCGAGTTCCCCAAGTATAGAACTACCCAGCGCCGTCACCGGCGGCCGCTCCAGTGGGCCCGGCGACAGGGCGGCCCGGCCCACCCTCCCCGACCCGGCGGACAGGGGCCGAGTCAGCTCCTTCCTGGTCAGTGGCAGACTCCCGGACCAAGCTATTGTGGTACTCGGACGCGAGTGAGAAAATAAGCTGAGAGAAAAACATGCTGATGCTTTTCCGAATCAGTATGGAAATAGCTGTAGTGGAAAAAGGACCTGGCGGCTCAGCTGTCCATGATGCTGCAAAACGATCGCCAGCTGTTGTTTTCATAAATATGTTACTGATTGCACTCTGTACAATGTACATTGCTAGCATCTTTTAAGATTTCAGGGCTCCCTTCGTATTTTAAATGCCCATCTAGGAATTTCTTTTATCGCCAAATATGTATTCCCCACCATTGCACACCTAACTATTCCTCAGATAAGTGCAGGAGCGACGAACGCCGAACAATACAATCGGACGGCTATTAGCCAGTCAACCATTACTGGTCATGCACAAGTCCGTGTCTAACAGCACTGCACCTTACTGCACACCACCAGTGCCAACATCAATCACCCATGACCACACATCACCTTACTAACACTACTGGCCACCACCGTCCCACCACCACTCTCTGATCTCTTCCCAGTCTCCCTGCACCCTCTACCGCGGCCATCAGCGGCCACGCGACAGTGCATGTCCCGTGACATCAGCGGAGCCGCCGCGTGTGCCCTCTCACACCCTCCGCGGTGCTCGGGTGGTCGGATCACCCGCCTCTGACGCGTCTCTCGCGCGCGGCGCGGCGTTTTCGGTCGTCTGGCGGTGGCGGGCGGGCGCCGTCGGCCCGAGGCCGACTCTCTATCGATTAGCCGCACACCACTAAGCACCTGGTGTACGCCGCCTCCGCCGCGAGCTGGTACAGACCCATCTGGGGCCGACAAGACGGATACGGAACGCGCAAGGTCATCCAAGGTCGAGGTCAACGCCCACAGGGCTGTCATTTGTCACTAGGATCTGCAGTATGTAGCAGTCAACCCAAAGGATGACACGTTGGTCGTCAACAAAATCAATGTTAACTTTTCCACATGGGCCTGCAGTGGGCGGTTCAGAAACATCATTTTCAAGCTGTGTAAATATGCTGCAAAGCCATCAACGAGCCACATTTTTCGCAAATTCTGTTCGCTTGTTTCCGGTAATTGTGACCGACTGTTGCCCTAGTTAGCAAGTCTGACAAGAGAC